CTGCCTGGTTCCTCTTGTTTTTATAATCATTCCAATCCTCCTGAGTACCTGTAAACTTAAATCTATTGTACGCTGCGTTTCGTAATTTTTGTGCCTGTGTAACACGTATATTGATCCATGGTGTCTGATTGCATTTAATTTTATTAATGGGGCTAATTTTATTGAGAGAGTCTCGAACATTATTTGAAAAATTATTATATAACACCTCGACATCCGTTGATGTTGTTTCCCAATGCTTTCCTATCAAGTCCAATATAATTTTATGTATATTTTCCTCATTAATATTCCTTCTCCAGATAAATTTGTATGTATGATTTAAGCCAGGTACATTTATTCCTATTACATCATGGTCTGATATTTTAGGAAAGTTTCTAGGGAGTTCAGCCACGGTGAAATTATTAGTTATAATGTAGTCGACGAGAGTAGCCGATGTTGGAGTAATGCGTGTTGGATTTTCAATAATTTGTTTAAATCCGGAGTCAATTACGATATTCTTTATTTTATTAGATGTACTGGTATTTGATTTAAAATCTATGTTAAAGTCTCCCAAAATAATAGTTTCATCGTCGTTAATAAAATCGTTTTTAAAAAGAGCTTCAAAGTAATTTAAAAAATGAACATTTCCGTTAGGAGAACGATATACTGCTCCAATAATCAACACTTTTCCATTGGCTTTCTTGTAAGCTTCTTGCTGCATTGGTGTTTGATCAAACGATATTTTATAATTCGTTCCTTTCAGTTTTCAGCTTGATTTTATAGCATCCTTCACTATTTCATTATTGCAGATGACTTTCAAAGGCCTTGGTCTGTTACCACCGTTTTTGATTTGCCCTACAAGAACAACTTTCTTCACTGAATGCAGTTCAAATTAACAGAGGTCGACTCTGGAATATTATAGACCATAAAATTGTAGGCCTAAAGTATAATTTATAACCACCGTAACTTAACTTAACGCCGTAGAAACTTAACCTAAGATATAAAAATAAAGTCTATTTATAAATGTCCGTAACGTAAGAGTAGAGCATGCGTGTTGATTTCAGAGATTATCAAATTATTGACAACCTTATGAAATAAACAAGTGTAAACTATGTACTTAACCTCTAAATAAAACTTATAAATTATGATTTTGCTATATAGAAAGAATATATTAACTACTTTAAAAGCAATAATATAAAAATATAATAAAACAAAATAGTTTACCGAAGATGTTGATTGTTTTTGAGCAATAATGAGAATTTAATCTTTCCTAGCAAAAAAGTTTTGTCTTATTTCAGTTCTAGACTTGATGTTTATAGGTATATGCAGCTACACTCATATCTCATAGATAGTTTATCCCCAATAACATAAACACAAATCATTCATGATAATGTATGTCCATCAAAAAGGAGAATGATAGTTTACAAATGGTATTTTTCTATTTATTTATAAAAAAAAAATAAAAAGAATAATTGACAGTTATCACATGCTGAACGCAGAATTATCTCATTGGCTAACCGTAAGGTCTTAAGTTAAGTTATGTTGTTAAGTTAAAAGTTGGTGAACTTTCTACGGTACGTTAAGTTCTTAAGTTACGTTACGAACATTATAAATAAGTATACGTAAATTCAATATTTCAACTTCTTACGTTAAGTTCTTAAGTTACGTTACGGCGGTTATAAATTAAGCTTTAGTTGTTCGCTGGCTCACCTCGTATACAGTTCATCAAATTTCTAGAGGTGTTCGACGCCCAGACAGAGAACGCGCTACGTGTGACTAAGATAGCTATTGTACAGTCTGCTAAACAAGTTATTTTAAATAGTTTTTAATATTTTTAGGTAATTAAATTTTAAAAGTGTGGAATAGTTTAGGGATTAAATTGGTCTGATTGGACTTTCTTAGAACGTTTTTAAAAGCAGCTAAAGATAGTATGTAGAATTGAAAATAATTATTATGCCATAAAAGGTGTTTTGGAATTCCTTCAACCTTTTGAAATTGAGTCAGAAAATATAAATTTTATAGGATAGCGGAAAATACCTATAATTTTTTTGTAGGCCTTTGTAAATCGTGGAAATAGTTTATATTTTATTTCTACCTTATTAAGGAAAATGGTACCTATTATTAATAACGGTTGTTTCTGAAACATTACTAAAATTTTCGAAATTTTGTTTTTCTACAAAATAATAAACTATACTATTTAGAAAAAAATTTATTTCTCTTATAATTTTATAAAAAATAACAGGGGAATATTTACATTTCTTGATCTATTAAACAAAACGATAAATTATCTCGACGAATGACACCATGTTCTAGTACGGAAGCTAGCTTTACATTTTTGTTGGTGGTTTCATGGGTTTCATATCAATTTTTTGTAATTGTAGTTTACACGTAAATATACCTCTTAACACTTGTTTGCTTTATTAAAAAAGTGTGTTGTTGTGATTTACGTCGAAATAAGTCAAAAACAACTTGAAACCCCATATAAAATCAAAAAGGAGAAACGGAAAAAAATTGAGCCTGTAAATGAACACAACTCAGAAACAAAAATAGCTATCTAATAATAAAAAAATAAAATTTGATTCTTGTGCAGCTTCATCTATATCATTAACTGTTTTTGGTTTTTTAATGGTTTTTCTTGGTGACGAAAATTCCGATATCTCACGGTTATCGATTCTTTTTCTCTCTCCAGAAATGCGGACGACAGTGTTTTTAGATACTCCTGTGGCTGCAGCAACACGATCATTTACATTTTTAAATGGTATTGAAGGTGAATTAAAGTTTCCTTCTCTTCTCATAAACTCTATAACATTGGCTATTATTTCGCGAGATTGACTGTTAATCACGCGGCCTCTTAATTTGCTATTAAACTCCATACTTAGGTTCTATTAAACTGTAATGAGCAAAAAACACAAACGAAAATAAAAGAAATGTTTTAGCGAAATTTACATCTGACATTTACGTCTGAATGAAATAGTGAAATACTTGATGCGCAGAGCGTACTTTCATTGCGTAAATCCGTCGGGATGCCTGTCAGTAGTGCTTTCTCTGTCTAGCCGTCGAAAGCCTCTAGAAATTTGATGAACTGTAACATTGATTCTGCACTGAGTTTTCATTCTTAAATGTGCTTATTGTTTGATTCAAAGTTTGTATTTCTTCCTCCACATTTGAACGATTTTTCGAACCATAACTGGTACGCTCTTGAAAGCTTGTCGACAATCATTGCAAAAATGCATAAGGCTACGCTTTTGCAACACAACAGCTCTGGCCTCCGAAGTAGAGAGACCAAAACATTTTTCTGCTAGATGTGAATGGCTTCTACAGCTTTTGCAAGCGATTATCTGCTTATCATCGCAGCCCAAATCTGTAGAACAAGCTGGACATAGATTTCGTGCCATTGTACAGGAAACCAGTTTCTAACCTTGGCTTGTAATTTAAAATATCCTTTTTGGAACTTTTTTTAAAATAATAATAATAATTCTTTATTTTCCATAAGACAATAATTACAATTGTATAAGATTCGTCAATAAATATAAGGTTAAATCTAAATAAATATATAAAATAAAATTAAAAATACTAAATACAATCACGCTATAATTCTAAACAGATTAAAATACTAAAAATATAAAAAATCAGCTAAGGAATAAAAACATTTTTCCAGGAGATACATTTTCAAATTATTTTTAAACATATTAATATTTGCACATTTTTTTATTTTAATTGGGAGTTTATTAAACAATTTTGGACCCAGAAAATTTGGTGCGTTGGAACTAATGTGCAACCTTGAATAAGGAACGTGTACTTCATCAACTTTTGTCTTGTTTGATAACTATGAACATCTCTGTTAGTCATAAAACAACTTTTGTTTTTAAAGATGTACACGCAAATTTCAAAAATATACAAAGATGGAAGTGGGAGTATTCCATAGTTTTTAAAATATGGTTTACAGGACATGCTTTGTGAAATGTTAGCTATACATCGTATTATTCGCTTTTGTGCAGTGAAAACATTAGAAGCATCTGTAGAATTACCCCAGAGACATACTCCATATCTAAGTCGAGAGTCGACTTGAGCAAAGTAAACACTAACAAGTTGATGAGATTGCAGCACCTCTCGTAAATTAATAAAAAGATATTTTAGCGAATTCATTTTTCCTACAAGTTTACTGCAGTGATACTTCCAATTAAGAAATTCATCAATATGAATACCAAGAAAACGAACGCTTTCGCGTGTACTATCAATACTGGAATTACCCACATAAACGCTAAAATCATCTAGAATATTCTGCCTGTTATGAAACCCAATGAGGTCTGTTTTATTAGTGTTAAAAAACAAATCTAAACTATTAAAATGGTTAGAAATTTTTTGTAAAAGAGAAGAGCTTTTAACTTTTAACTCATCGCTGTTATTTGATGATACTATCACAGAAAAGTCGTCAGCGTATGCAACATAATGATTATTACCTATTAAATGATCTACACTGTTGACATATAAAATAAACAATATTGGCCCCAATATTGACCCTTGTGGTACTCCCATATGTGTATCTAAAAGATTAGAGTTAATTTCTTTAGTTTTTTTTATCTATTTTAAAGTTTAGAGATACATATTGTTGTCGTTCTTTAAGAAAGGTGGAGATCCATTTTAAAGTATTTCCTCTCTTTTTTAATAACAATATTATTCACTGACCTTTGCTTATTCGTCATTTCCGATACAACGTTCCACGACGCCTTGGCCGTATTGTCTGAGTTGATAATACGATCTTGATAATATTTCTTTTTTTTTTTTGAGACCAATAAATTTGAATGAATTTTCTTATTCTCCCTATAAAATTCCTTAAAATTTGTATTTATCTTTTGTAATGCAAAGAGATCTTTTAATTTTGCACTAGATGCCAAAACTTCAGCATCTATCCATTTTTTATTATTATTTTTGAAATACTGGAGTTACTGGAGTTATAGTGATATACATTTTATACAAAATTAATTTTTTAAATATAACATTTTAAATATTATACATTTTTTTAGGTTTACCAAAAAAACCCAACGTTTCAGAATTAAAACGAGTCTGGAATCAAAGTGGCCATTTAAAATTAAATGCAATAACTCTACTTTCTGCCCTTCTAAATACCGTAGACGACGCAATCGCTTTAAATTTAAGAATAAAATTTTCAGCTTTTGAAAGAGAACTAGCAATATACATAGTAGAAAATAGGGCTCCGAAATTACACCCAAAACCGCTCATGCCTTTTCAGCAACAAATTTTAAAATCCATTTCGAAACCAGCGAATGTAAAAAAAATGGCAGTCGAGGTTTTGAAATATAATAATTCGCCATATTGGGAGGAATTAGAAAAATGGGAAATTCCTAAATTCCCTGTAAGTGGGAATTTACTGAAAGAACGCGGAGTTGAGCCCGGCAGAAATATGGGAGCAGTAATGACTCAATTGAAACATTTTTGGGCAGACAATGATTTTAATTTGAGTGTAGAAGACTTAATGAAGGAGTTACCCAGGGTTTTGGAGGTGCTGGCCGAAAAGAAGAAAATAAAATAAAAGTTAAATATTTTGTTAAGTTATTTATTTTCAATATTTTTTTATTAAAATATCGTTTATTGCCGTTTGTATGACATTTATTTTATAAATAAAGCTGTGCTAGTTCTCCGACTACATATACGGGGTGTTCCTAAATTAGAGGTAGATATTTTAACAGTGTATTGTACAAATAGAGCCTATTTATAAAACATTAATAAAATCACTTATAAACTGCAAAAAATAAGATAAAGAATAACGAAAAACAAAATGACAATTTCGGAAAATTTGACATGCCAAGCCAATCAAAACAAACCAATGAGAATGCTGGACCGAAACAAAGTTCATTTTGACGATGGTTCTAGTAAAATATGCTTGAAGGTTTTCCTGAAAAACCGAGTGAAAAACAGGGTTTTCATTTCCGTGTACGATTGTCCGTTATTATCTATGGCTTAGAAATATACAGGCATCGCATTCTAATTTGTCAGTAGTGGGGTAAAGTTTGCGCACTGTTGACACACCTCCGAACGATCTTAATGGCTACTATTAATGTTGAAAGCATTCGTGAACTTTTTGTTTATTACTCTGTATATTTTGTTTTTTGTCTTGATGTTTATGAGATTGAAGTTTTGTAGTTGTCAAATATATATTTTATTGAAAGGATCTGAAATTTTATTATATTAGCGAGTATATCCCACATTGCCCACTGCTTTACTTTCAATAGGTTATCGGCCCAGCTAAGTAGCAGGTTACTGGTAAAAACTTCATATTTCATTAGGCAGGCACAAGGAATCTATCAAACGAAATGGCGGATGGGACCAAGTTCTCCATCTCTAAGTTGAGTGGAGAAAACTACTTCGTTTGGAAATATAAGGTAGAACTTCTATTAATTAAGGAAGGATTGTGGGATGTAGTAGAAAATGAAACCCCTAAAGATTGTAACGCGGAGTGGAAAACCAAAGATAACCAAGCCAGAGCCACCATTTGTTTACTGGTAGAGGACAATCAACTCATTCACGTAAGGAAAGCTAAAACATCTAAAGAAGCGTGGAACAGCTTAAAAAATTATCATGAAAGATCATCCTTGAGCAACAAAGTTTCTCTTATGAGAAGAATATGTAGCCTAAAATTAGAAGAAAATGGTAACATGGAGGTACATATTGAGAAAATGACTGAATTGTTCGAAAAGTTAGCCGCTCTTGGAGAAGAATCCATTTCTGAAAAGTGGTCGGTAGCTATGTTATTGAGCAGCCTACCTAAAAGTTACGACACACTCATCACCGCTCTAGAAACTCGATCAGAAATTGACCTTACACTCAATTTGGTGCAGTCAAAACTAATTGAAGAATACAAGCGTCTTTATTCGCAATCATTTTCACAAGAAACGGCACTAAAATTGGTAGAAAACTCAAATTTAACAAAAAATAAAGTAAGATTTCAATGCTATTTTTGTAATAAACCTGGTCATTCCAAGAGAGAGTGTCGAAAATTTTTGGAATGGAAAAAGAAAAGAAATGGTCACCACGCTCATCAAATCAGCGAAGATAGTGCAAAAGATGAAGATAATAATTTTTGTTTCACTACATCAGAATCGAAATGTACCGGGTGGATAGTAGACTCAGGAGCTTCATGTCACATTTCACATTCAAAAAATGATTTTCTATTCTTGTCACCCACAATCAGGAAAGTAATTGTTGCAAATGGAATAGAGGAAATTGCAGAGGGAACTGGAACTGTCATGTTGACATTTTTAAACAGTACCAATAAAGAATTCTCAGCACAAGTTCAAGACGTTTTATATGTTCCCACACTCGAAAGAAATTTGTTATCTGTAAAAAAGTTAGTTGAAAATAATTTTGAAATAAAGTTTGCGGATAACGGTTGTCAGATTTTAAAAAATGGTCACGAAATAGCATTTGCAGATCTAGAAGAGGGTCTCTACAAACTAAAGCAAAAGGAAAAAGCATATACACTAGTTGAGTGCGGTAACAAATGCTTGCACTACTGGCACAAGGTACTAGGCCATAGAGATATAGAAGCAATAAAATTATTATGCAGAAACAGACTTGCAACTGGCATAGAAATACGCAATTGTGGCATAAAGAAAACTTGTGAAGTGTGCCTTCAAGGTAAATTTAGCAGACTCCCTTTTCAAAAATTAAGCACCAAAGTAACTACAGCTCCACTAGATCTTATCCACTCAGATATCTGCGGGCCAATGCAAACAATAACAACTAGTGGTTACCAATACTTTGTTACTTTTGTTGATGATCACACAAGGTACTGTACACTGTTTTTACTGAAAAATAAATCAGATGTGCTGAATAAATTTAAAGAATATGTTCAATTTACTAAAACTATGTTCGGAAAGAAACCTAAAATAATACGATCAGATCAAGGAGGAGAATATAGGTCTAAAGCATTTAATGAGTATTTAAGACAAGAAGGCATCAGTTTCCAGTTTACTGCTCCGTACAGTCCACAACAAAACGGTGTTGCGGAAAGAAAAAACAGATCATTGATGGAAATGGCTAGATGTATGCTAATAGACGCTGGTTTACCTAATGTTTTTTGGGGAGAAGCAGTAATGACTTCTAACTACCTTCAGAACCGATTACCTTCTAGATCAATAGTTAAAACCCCTTATGAACTATGGTACAACAAAAAACCTGACATTCTTCATTATCAAGAGTTTGGGTCCAAGGCGTATGTATACATTCCTGCAGAAAAGAGAAGAAAACTGGACAATAAGTCAGAGCTGTTAACATTTGTCGGATATGATGAACATACAAAAGGTTATCGATTAGTTAATCAACAAACAAAAAGATTAATAATAAGCAGGGACGTTAGATTTATTTTTCCTTCTTCATACGAAAATCAGCAAAAATTAAACAAAGCCTCTGACAATGAAGTTATTATTGAAACGTCCAGTAAAAAATATTCGTTAGCAAAAGAGAAAAATAAACAGGAAGAAATTCCGGAGGATCCAACTGTGAAAGTAGAAATTCAGATGAAGCAACAGGAGCAAATTAATAAAAACCCACAAACTGATACAGAAGAAGCGCCAGAAGAATTACAAAATCAGCAGCAAGGCTCCAGTAGTACGAAGTTTTTATCAAAAGATATACGGAGGTCTGGAAGACCCAATAAAGGAATTCCTCCTGAAAGATTTGTAAATAATGTTGCAGAAGAAAACGAAGTTAGCACACTTGAAGAAGCACTTAGAAGTAAAGATAAGGAACACTGGAAAAAAGCCATGTTAGAAGAGGTCCAATCACTAAATAAACATAAAACTTGGGAACTGGTAAGATTGCCAACGGATAGAAAAGCCATTGGATGCAAATGGGTTTTTAAAATCAAACAAGACGAGAAAGGACAAATAATCAGATACAAAGCTCGCTTGGTAGCACAAGGTTTTTCGCAGAAATACGGTACTGATTATGATGAAGTCTTCGCACCTGTTGTGAGGCAGTCTACCATCAGAATACTTTTATCATTAGCAGGAAAGCGAAAGATGTATATCAAGCATTTGGATATAAAGACGGCGTTTTTAAATGGGGAGTTAAAAGAAAAAATTTATATGGAACAACCACCAGGTTTTGAAAACTGGGATGAAGGAAATAAAGTTTGCCTATTAAAAAAGAGTTTATACGGTCTAAAGCAGGCAGCAAGAGCCTGGAATGAAACTTTAGATAATTTTTTAAAAGATTTAGATTTTTCACAAAGTAAGACAGACAAATGCTTATACCTTAAAAATAAAGATAACAACATGGTAATTATATTAGTTTATGTAGATGACTTGTTGATTGCAAGTTCTAAAAACGACCTTATTCTAAATACAGTCAAAGAAATAGAAAATAATTTCGAAATTAGCTGTCTAGGGGACCTTAAACTTTATCTGGGTTTGGAAATAGGAAGAGACAACTATGGACATTTTTACATCAGTCAGAAGAGCTACATAAATAAAATTTTCACCCAAGTTATGGCAAAACAGAAAGTACAAAATTTTTGGTAAATAATAAAAAGTATCAAAGTATCATTGGAAGACTACTTTACTTGTCTATAAATTCAAGGCCAGACATTACAGCTAGCGTATCAATTCTAGCTCGGAGGGTTAGCATGCCTACTCAAGAGGACTGGCTAGAAGTCAAAAGACTTGTAAAATTCTTAAAGGTACTGAGAACTTAAAACTTTTCTTAAGTCGAAATGAAACACAGAACGAATTTTATGGCTATGCAGATGCAAATTGGGCTGAAGATAAAAAAGAAAGAAAGTCAAATAGCGGCTATATTTTTAAACTCTATGGAGGCCTAATAAGCTGGAGCTGCAGAAAACAAACTTGTGTGGCACTTTCATCTATGGAAGCAGAGTTCGTTGCTTTAGCAGAAGCCATGCAAGAAGCTGTATGGCTCGAACAAATTTTAATCGACCTTCACGAAGAAGTAAAGAGACCTATTCTTATTCTGGAAGATAACCAAAGTTGTCTTAAGTATATATGCTCTAATAATTTTAGTAACAGGTCTAAGCACATAGACACTAAATACAAGTTTGTCAAAGATTACGTAGCACGAGATATAATCAAGTGTGCATACTGCCCAACAGAATCAATGCTTGCAGATTTACTTACAAAACCACTTCCCGCTAAAAGACTGGCAATACTTCGAGAAGCTTGCGGACTTTGTAGTTACACGAATGAGGAGGAGTGTTGAAAGCATTCGTGAACTTTTTGTTTATTACTCTGTATATTTTGTTTTTTGTCTTGATGTTTATGAGATTGAAGTTTTGTAGTTGTCAAATATATATTTTATTGAAAGGATCTGAAATTTTATTATATTAGCGAGTATATCCCACATTGCCCACTGCTTTACTTTCAATAATTAAACCTCAGTAGCGTATACTACTTTCGCTTAAAATAAATTCTCTAGGAGTTTTAAAACGGTCACGGTCAGATGAATCACAAAATTTTAAGAAAATTACCTAAAATTTGAATCCTTAATAACGGTCAAAGTAATCATACATGCTGTGATTGTCCTTGTTTCGTGCTTTATTTTTGTAAGGTCTCAACGGTTGTATATCGTTAGTTCTTCATGGAGCCGAACATGCTTCCTATTTTGGCGGTTTTGAATTGTGACTTAGAATATGTCTTCCTTGAGCTGAGGAGGAAGACAATTTCGGTAAAACTTCTCTGACAGATTTAGTATGTGTTGCTTAATAGGAAGAATGTTTGTTCTCTCGTGTAGTTCTGTGATTCTGGTATCCCTTGCACAACCAAGGATTAGCCTCAGATACCTGTTTTGCGTGTATTGCAGTTTTTTGAAATGCGTGTTCGCCATAGAGCAGATGACTGTCTATCGGTCTAAGAATTTGTTTATAAAGTAGCTGCTTGTTTTTTTGTGTTACTTTGCTGTTAGGTGTCAGCATAGGGTATAGTGTACGTATCATACCTGTTGTTTTTGCAATGCGGTCTTATGTTTTTTGAACGTTAGCCTCCTATCTAGATGAAAACCTAGGTATTTTAGGCTGGTTTTGGTATTTATCGTTTGCCCTTGAACTTTTAATTTGCCTTTGATGCCATCTGCCTTGCGTTGGGACAGGAGTGTGGATTCCGTTTTCGTGGGATTTATTTCATCTTATTTTTGACTAGATAGGGGACTAACGTTCTATTTATATCTGAGGTTTTATACACACAGGTGTGTCGTCAGCGTACAGCGCCGTCTGTATACCATTCGGACCCAGAGGCATGTCATGTGTCATAATCATTTACAGATGCGGCGTGAGTACTGACCCTGAAAGGGAAGTGGGATGGGTCGTCTGGGTAGTGTATAATTAGGTCATTCACTTCGGCGAATCCTTTCAGTGTTGGATGGAAGCTGCGTATAGAACTCTTCATTTGGACAGGGATTGGGGGTTTGAGGCTTTGGTTGCCCTGTACTGTATGGGTGAGAGTCAAATTTGAGGTTACTCAGTTCACCTCGGTTTTGAGCTTTCTCCATACTTTTTTTTATCGATAATTTTTATTTTTGGTACGGCCCCTGTATTGTTGTTTTTGTATAGTGGAGATGACAAATCGGTCCCAAAACCGAAATTTAAGGGTCTGGCTTGCGTGTTTGCCAGGAAACTGATCCTTTTGATTGCCATTTTTATAGGGTGATTTTGTTCTGTCGTGTACTCAGATTGAAAGGGTTGATTGTTTGACGTTTGGTCAGTTGTGATGTCCTGATTGAAATTTCCTCCCCTTCCTGGGGTTTTTCCTTTTCTTGAATGGGAGGAGGTGCGTTATCATCCGCATCCATGTATTCTTCCGATTTATCATCACTGACAGTACGGTTTGGGTTTGGATTTCTGTTTTCATTGTTATCTAGGCTTTCAAGACTGCTTTTCTTTAAATTTTTGAAGATTCTCCAGGTTTTTTTGAGAATTCTCCATACTTGTGAGTTCTCCTTACTTTTTTGGTTCCTGGACTATTTCATTCGAGTGGGTGATTATTTTAGGGTCGAGACTTTGATCTAGGGGTGTTGTTAGCCAGCTATCCGATCGGAGATCTGAACGTTCAGTTCGCCCGCCGACCAAAAACAATGACATGCTCCGCCCACCGTTCAGTTCACCCGCCGACCAAAATCAGTGCCCCATCGCCGTATTTGATCACTACGGAAGATCTTGTCCGTTATTTTCACCTAATTTTTGTCCTTGTTAACGTCTGTACATTGTCAGGTTTTCGCGAAGCAAATTATACTTCCTATTAGTGCCGTTTTCGGCCGTGGTACTGCTGAATGTTTACCTTCAGCTCTGCTAGGAGACAATTTTGATAGGGAGTTACTAACATTTTTTAGTATGAATTACTTTATACGATTTACGTTTGTCCTGTAAGTCTGTGATGCTTTCGTGTCTTCCACAGCCCTGACACACGTTTTGTTTTGACTTGTAGTGTTATAATTAGTTTCTGGAATCGTGTAGATTACTGGACATCTGTATGTCTGAGGATTTGCTTAAATAATAAAGTTCTCTCGAGTGACCTTGATAATAATAGATTGATCATGGTTTTAGTCAATACTAATCCCCCTATCTAAACCTAAGTATTTGTAGTCTTCAGATAACTCGATGTTTTTCTCTTGAATCGTAAGTCTAAGGTTTATTTTCAGCCTTATTCGGATTGACTGCTGGTTCTCAGTCTACTTAGCTTTAAGGCTGGAAATTAATAATACCCAGTCCTTGATAAATAATAATAGATGACAAAATATTTTTAAACCTGTATTTTTTTCAAATTAAATTAAGTACAATCAAACAATAACAATAATAATCATATTATTTTCAATAATTAAATCATATTTTATCTACAAACACAATCATTTAATTTGGTAACTTAAACCTCGCAAACAGAAACTAAGTTTGAATGATTAATAATAAAAATTTAGTATTTTTGTTCTAAATAAAAGTAACATATTCCGATTTGCAAGAATACTGACACAATTCAAAAATTATCAATTTTAAGATCATTGCATTAACATAAAAAGTAACTTCTTTATACAGAAACAATGATAATTATAGAACCTACCATTGAAAATTTGTTACAAGGTGCATTAATAAATTCAAGAATTGAAATTTTTTGAATTGTGTCGTTATTCTGGCAAATGAGTGATATATAGTTTATTTTATTGGAAATCACTTTGTAAACGAGTATTGTTTATGATTGAAATTTTCGTAACAATAGCTAATTTTGTTAGTTTTATTTTTGATAAATCCTCTATGCTTACCTGTTATTTTGGATAAAATTAAAATTGAAGGACCAACAATTAATAGTACACTAAAAATTTAATTACAAACATTTTTTTTAAGCTTAATAATTTTATTTTAAAACTTTTCATGCAACCCTTGATAGTACGTTTATCGAGCCAGCTGAATAATAAGAGCAGAGCACATTTCAAAAAATTCCATAGTATGATGACCTGTCGGTTTATTACTTCCAGGCGCCACTGCTTGAATAGGCGTTGCAATGGCTTCCATTAAAATTGTACCGATATTGGATTCGGAATCTTCGTTGACTAGACTCTTGAAATCCAGTAGGTAACTCTTATAATCAACCTTAAAAAAAAGACATCTTAATTTAATCATATTTTTTGTTCAAATTAAATGTCTACATCAGGAAGATGACACCACTTTCGCCATATTGTGTAATAATTTATTTTTACACTAGTATTTTTACAACAGTATGGTAATTAAAATAATAGAATAGAATAGTATATATAAATTATATAAAATAGCTTAAATACATTATGAAAGGTACAGTAAATACGTTGTATGAAGATAATATAGTAGGATAATGCAACAGTAAAAAGTGTTGGACGCAATCTCGAGCGGCATCTAGTGACGATTTAATGAAGTAGTCAATTTTTAATGCTATGCAGATACGCCATCTACGTCTTCTTTTCGTTCAGGCACATGGCCTCTATCACCTACCTATTATAGTTAAAAACGTCTTTATTTATTTAAAAATAACAATTCATAATAAAAGATATGAAAAATTAAACATAATAATGAAAATTTATTCCAGTTGACAAAACCGTACAAATATAATTTTTGGATTAAGGTGATAAAAAGTGGTTAAGGACTTTGGTCAATATTTTGGTTATGTGCGGTTATGTCAAAATATATAAACAATAACAACTGATAACAATGTCCAATGTTTTAAATAAATTGAAAAGTTCCAAGTAGAATACAAAAAAGGAATAAGCTTCTGAAAATGTTGCATGTAATCTAAGTACCTCTAATTGGACTAAGTGTTGGAAAAGTTTATAACCATAAAAATAGCTGAATATTTTTATAGTTTTCAAAATTTGAACAAGCTTTGCTACAAAATTTAATTAAAGCTATCAACAGTTTGCAAGGTATTGAGTTAAGGAACAAGAAAATCACTAATCAGGGAAAAATCAATCAGCAATCAACACTGGAAAACAAATTTTAAAAAATAGTCACAGGGATATATTAGCGACTTCCAAATGTATCTTGGCTGTTGACCATGAATATAAGAAAAAATGTTCTCTCGGCTGGCTCTGAGTGTTGAAATAAATCACGTTGAAAGGAAGTTTTCAATAGCTCCGCTCTTTAGGAATAGCTCAAGACGAAATCGATAGACCTACAAGTGGTCTATCTGTGGCAGATATATTCAGTTAGTCTTTATATTTCATTATGCAATGTTACAAGGTTCAACAACTTGCCAAAATGGTTAAAATTTATTTCCAAAATCAGTGCTCTTATTTAGTACAGAATTCTACGAACGACAATAATTATAAAGTCCTAACTTTGAACATAAAAGAAAATCTTATAAAAAACATTTTTTTTATAAATTATCAGTGTTTCAGAAAAGTATATTTGTTTGTAAATATTTGTATTTAATCCAGGTTAAGTGTCAGTGCGGAGTGTAATGTTAAGTATGAACAAAATCCGCCCATTCTGTTTATACGTTTGGTTACCGACTCTAGTAGATAGGCAATTTATTATTAGGTACTTTTAATTTAGATTTTGGATTAATGTTTTTGTATATGACTTGGCTGTTTAGTAATAAATAAAATCAAAACTGTAACACGTAGTTTTATTCTGGAAAGTATTTTTAAATTGAATCACGCACGCAGTTTGAGTGAAAATGTTTTAAGTAGTTCAAAAAACAATCACTATTTTTCATTGTTTATAGAATACAGCCTTTTAGTTAGCTCAGACCGGGGCTCAGACAAAACTGATTAAATAATATGTCTTATTATTTTTTGAATTTTTTTTATTTCAACTGGTTGACTATATCAAAAATTAAAGCCAATCAAGCAAAACGTGAGTAACATTTAGTTTTTTTTTAGAAGAACAATAACGCAAGTGAAAATGAATGATTCCACAGAAATAGCAAATAAAAAAAAATGTAATATGAAACTTACAACTAAGGCGTTAAGGAAAAGTTTGGAAATAATCGAAATAGCAAATTTATTTTAGTTTTAGACAGAACTACTTTATTTTATTCTTTTTAAATTGAAGATTTATAGGCTGGAGAAGCGATTTGAAATCGGTAAAACGATCGCCCAAAAACGCTCTTAAACCCCCGTCCACAAAATCACTAGTGACCAGTGTAATTTATAAATATATTCACACATAAATTTACAAGTAAATTAAACAACAAAATATTTAAGAATAGTAATATTAATAATTGTCATTGATTGAACTGAATATTCAGTCCAATAGGCTCTCGACCAAAGTCCTTTCCCTTTTTAGAATATCTTTCAAATTCAACAATTTTACATGTTTTGTTCCAACGCGGATTTTAATAATAGATTTATAAATTGTTTTTGTTTATTTGAATGTTAAAAGTTCTTAAAACTAACTTTAACATATATTTCCCATGCTGGCGCTTAGTGTTAAAATAATGAGACGATTAAACGAAAAAGGCTTACGAGAGCCAGTTGCCCTCTTTTGGTACACATTTGTACAAGGCAACTTTACAAACAAATGTTTCCTCCTTTTTTCTCTTGTAGAAGATGGACTCGCAGTGGAGCGCACAATGATGGTATTTTAAAAAGCCACGTCACATATTTGATTAGATAATTAACTTGATATAAGTGCCTTCAAGACTTAAGTCGTTAAGCATTCAAGTTTGGATTTCCCAACCCAGATTCAATTACATATAAAAACATTCTTTCTTATTTTGGAAAAAATATGAAAAATATAATTAAATGCAATCTTTCTGCTAAATTTTGTAGTATTTTGATAACAGTTCAGAAAAAAATAGTAGTAGTCAGTAACTGATCTTTACGAAACCCAAAGTTGAGCACTTAACGTCCTGAGCAATGAAAGTTTATGTCAATGTTAATTATCTAATCAAATATGTAACATTCGCATTTTCTATAATTTATTTTTTAAGTCGCCTTCGTTGAGAGCTTCATCATTGTAGGACATGCAGCAAAGTATTTCCATGTACAAAAAAAAAAAAAAACAATGAAAAATTTTTAATTTTGCCTTTCGAAAATAATACTCCTAAATGTGCCTACCATAAATTGGTACTCGATTCGTTTTCAAATGGTGTCAAAAGTTGAAAACTGAAAATTAGTGGCTTACATGTTTTTATTACTTAGTATAATTTCACTAGACGTGTTTGGTATTATGTTATAAGTTTACCTAACAGCAAAAAATCTGTTAGTTAAATTTTGTCAGTGCCGATTTTAGTAAAATTATATTGAATAATAAAATTATAACTACCTATATATTTACCCATTATTACTTTTTTAATTTTCAACTTAACATCCTGTATTTCAGAACATTTTATCCAAACATTTTTTATTTTCGTCTATTCGTCTCATTTTGAACAATAATATTCAGTTGTTCATGTCCTATTCTTAATTTGATGATACCATTAAATAAAAGTGAATATAAATTAACAGCGTACAACTCAAGTTTAATTAACCATCAGCGATATATCCAAAATCCAACCACAATATAGAAAAAAATGTTCCCTATTATAGTAAAATTCCACCCAATCTCACCTAATTCAATCTTTTTCAAACAAAAACTGGTTTATTTTATTATATCGATTATTTTCGCATTTTATGTGACCTTCAAATACCCTGTATTCTGTGCTTTTGTAATAATTTGAAATAGTAAATTGTAACTATAAAAATACATTACCGAAGACAAGTAGAAATGAAAAAGAAGATTTTAAATTATAATTCATACTCAAGCACAGACATGACCTAAAGACCTGACTTGGACATAAGTACAGTATCGCCATCTACATTCTATGTCCATCGTCCTCCAATGATAAGTCCATAAGGTTACCCTACTATATTTCTTCATACAACGGTAAATATAATATTAAATACATGAAACATTCAAGAAGGAATCATCACCGGTAAGCGTATACAAAAAACATATCCATACTCTAGAAACTTATTCTAAAATAAAAATTCAATTACATGTAAAAACTGACCTGGTATAGTTGTAATGACATCATCACATGTCTATTTTGTAATTTGTTGTCGTGTCTGACACGAATATGATACGGATTGATAACTTTCCATTCATAATCTAAGGCCTTCATTGCTCTATAAACTTCCATCATGATGTCGTTCGGTTTACTTTGAGAGCGAATGCCTAAGTGCCATTTGGCTCGTTTTACTAAAACAAAAACAATATCCATAAATTAACCTATACTCTTCGAAATAAAGATGACTCTTGATATAATTTGCACGTGAGCTAAATAAGGGGAGACTATATTCAATCGGCTGGCTGGCAGACTGACTGACTGCCTGCCGTGATTGGATAGATGGATATACCTCCACCGCTAGTGGACTGGCTCGCCCTTTTCTACCTCTGTCTATCAATAGCATCGCTTATTCTATACCGTTATTCTGGCGTCATTGTAACAATCTTAAAATAATCTATAATGAAGGATGCTTTAATTAATTTTATAATTCAATATGTATGCTATAATAGGTTACCGTTATTTATTACTAGTTTAAGAGTAATCCAGTCCCTTCTGACGTGACACCCAACGAATCTCACGACCTCCCTTTAAAGTATTTGGAACCTTGTTCGCTACATAAATTTGGCAATGTTGTGTGTCGTACCCCGATTACAATTCAGGTATAATTCGTTGGCTATCGCCGCCTACTGGGGGTTAGTGGCTTGTTAATATACGAATGTAGGAATACCATTTTTAAACCAAACATCTCAAATATTTTTTATTTATTGATAGTTATAGATGATATACAGGGTGTCCCGAAATTAGACGGTCATATTTTAACACCGTAATCTACATCCTAAAATAGTAGTAAAAGTTCATATAAACAGGTCCGAAAACTTTTCTTTTCCGAGATACAGGGTGTTAAAGGTGAAGTCCTGATACCACACTTTTGTAAATATTTTCTAAACGCTAAAGATAATTAGGTAAAATTTGTTACAAATACTTACCTTTTTACGCTACATTTATTGGACTAAACCTCAGTTATTGATCATCTTCTTAGGTGGGTAAATTAGGGGGAGCTTAGGGTAAAATTGCCGTGTGTGTCTGTGTGTCTATATCCACCATAACTCATGAACCGATACACAGAAAAACACTAAATTTTAAACTTAAGTTTTATTTCGGCCTGACGTGAAATAATTAGATTTTGGACAAAGTCGGAACATCTGGGGGGGTACTTTATGGGAGGCCGTTTTTATATTTTATTGAATATATCTGTTATTTATGTTTGGAGAAGAAAATTATTCAAATAAAAGTTACTTCTAATATTATTATCTATAATTTTTGCTTTATGTCAAAATTTCCTGAAATGGTCCGTATTCGAGAAATTTGACAAAATGTGCAAAATTCTAAACTAAACTAAAAGTTGTTTGCGATATCGATCTCTATAATTTTTGTTCATACATGATTTTTCTAAAATGGACCGTAATGGAAAAATTGTAGGAAAATTGCTAAATTTAAATTTTTCAGTATTTTCGTTTTCAATGAATAACTATAGAAAAATGTTTCGAGGTAGATAGATGTATGTGGAAAATGTATATATTTAGTTTATCCTCTAAACATTTATATAGAGGTACTGCAATAATTTGTACAAAATAACCAGAAAAAGCCTATAATAACTAGATAGGAAAGTCATGTGTTGGACACATCAGATTTTGTGACCATAAAATTTGGAAAACCAATATTTTCTGTATAATAAAGCTACATTTGTTGCAACTGGCTAGGACGCGCCATTTTCAAGAGAAAAGCATGTTACCTTATTCGAAAATGTAAACAATAATTAGTAGGTCTGTAGAATTAGAAATTTTATTTTTTTTTAACTTTGAAAAACCGGTAACTAAAGAAATTTTAGAAAATATTTCATCTGGACTTCACTTGTAACACCCTGTATCTCGAAAACGAAACGTTTTCGGACCTATGTTTATATAAACTTTTACTCCTATTTTTAACCGACTTCATAAAAGGAGGAGGGAGGTTCTCAATTCGTCGCAATATTTTTTTAATTTTTTTTTTATGTATGTTCACCGATAATTCTTTAACACGGTGTCCGATTTTAATTATTCTTTTTTTGTTAGAAAGGGGGTATTTCAGGGGTGGTCCCATATAAATTTGGTCAAAATCTAATAATTGCGTCCATGATAAAATCCTCAAACTCTTCATTTTTTATGTATGTTTAGCGATAATGCTTTACCACCTTGTCCGATTCATATGATTCTTTTTTTGTTAGTAAGGGGGTACCTCAGGGATGGTTCCATATAAATTTGGTTAAGATGTGATGACGGCATCTGCACATTTTTGAAGTCGGTTTTTTTAAATTTTTAATTTCTAATACTGGTTTTTTTTTATTTATTATAGATACAAACTAGCTACAGCATTGAATATTTTATAAATAATTATCATATACATAAATAATTGGATAATTGCAAATAAGTAAAGTTCCTTTTAGCTAAATGATTTTAGATTTTAGTTATATTTAAATTAATAAAATCTTAAAATATTTATCCTTGTTTAGTTAATATCCATTATTGCAATTTAGATCTATAAAGACCTATCGAATTTAGGTTTTTAAATTCCACCGGAAGTGCGTTAAATATTTTGGGACCGAGATATAAAACAGTATTAGTTTCGAAAGCAAATATAATTATTATCACAGTATAACACTGATTCGTGATTCGTATCCGTGATCCGAAAAAAAGGATTCGAATCACTTGATTCGAATCCTTTTTTTTTGAAAAAGGATTGGAACATTGGATCCGTGATTCGAATCACACCTCGTGATTCGGATTCGTGATTCGAATCCATTTTTTCGAGGATTCGTCCCAGCTCTAGGTGACGGCATCTGCACGTTTTTGAATTCGGTTTTTTTTAATTTTTAATTTCTAATACTTGTAGGATGTAGATTACGCTGTTAAAATATGACCGTCTAATTTCGGGACACCCTGTATATTGGAAATTCGAAATAATAGTTATGACGTAGCGGTGTTTTTCTAATTGTAATCGGACCCTAGGTGTATGGATACCGAAAGTGATGAATTGGAGATAGGTAAATTGTATTTATTGTATTAAAAGAACAACAAATATAAGTACAATTAAATAAGTATATTAATATAACAATTTTTTAAAGTGTATTAAAAAAATTTTTTTTCACATAGATTATTAAATTAAAAAAATAACTATTAAAACACGAAATGTTAATTTTTTCTCTATTACAACACAAAATATACAATACTGTTGAATCAAAGTTTTCTCTTGGCAGCAGGTGGTTTTTGTGACGCGCCAATTATGATGCTTTGCATCTCATGAATTAAAGTTAATTATCTTTCAATCTTAAGGTGTTCATACCCCTTATAATTATCGGACAAGAATATCTCAAAATATTTAAATTTTGGCAAAATAAATTAGGCAATAATATCTATAATATGCATATATTTTAATGTTTTAATTCCTTCCAGTTTCCCAAAAAAACTAAAAGTGCTTTAATTTTGAAATATCATAATGAAAATAAATGCTTTCCTCGACAGCACTATTCTTAATATAATCTCCAAATTTAAGCCTCTAATGTCTTGTTAATGATTTCTTAAAATTCGCCAAAATTAGTGGCTAAAACGCTTCGTTAAGTGCTATCTTCTGGTGTAAACTGGTGTAAATTATTGCAAGAAACGAATAATGACAGAGTGTACGATACGATAGTTACAAGTCCGTTATAGAGAAAGTAAAAGTTGAAAAGTCTTTTGGTAGGTAGAGAGGGGGTAAACGTCAAACCACGTCGGGCGGCTCCGAGAATTTCACAGTAATGTTTACCTGCCAGTGTCGTTTCATAGAATAAGTAATTTTAAATTGTTATCAGCGGAACCGGACAATCGCATGTGTTTATGGATTATAAATAATTATTAAACATGTAATGGGGTCTATTCTGTAACAATTCCTTTATATTTAACGGCCTTTAAAAATATTTTCTTCTTTACTTCTGTCATTATTTAAACGGATCTATAAAATACATTAGAGGACTATCTTAAAGAAATCTGTTTAAATAATGACAGAAGTAAACTAACGAATACAAACATATTTTTATAGGCCGCCAATATTTTTAAAGGCTATTAAATATAAAGGAATTGTTACAGAATAGACCCCATTATAATATTCAAATTATAATTTTACAAAATTTCAACAACTATTCACAATTTATTAAACTATAGAGAAAGTAAAAGTTGAAAAGTCTTTTGGTAGGTAGAGAGGGGGTAAACGTCAAACCACGTCGGGCGGCTCCGAGAATTTCACAGTAATGTTTAACTGCCAGTGTCGTTTCATAGAATAAGTAATTTTAAATTGTTATCAGCGGAACCGGACAATAGCATTTATTTATGGATTATAAATAATTATTAAACATGTATTATAATATTCAAATTATAATTTTACAAAATTTCAACAGCTATTCACAATTTAATAAACTATTTACTCGAAATTGTTATTAACATCTATAAAATAATTTTGTACGACAATGTATCGCGTCCACTTCGGTGAAATCCGCTGCCAACCTGTCAATTTATGTGTATAAAGTGGGAGAACTGGCAAAAGCATTTCCAACTTTTACTTCTGTTCTACACTGTTTTCCACTCAATTTATTAAAAAAAAATAATAATAAATTAGGGTATTAATTTTTTTTCTCTGAAGCTATTGGTTTTGGGAAAAAAATTCAAGAATAAAAAAAAATTAAATAAATCAAGGATTTCATAAAAGTTCATCTCGAAAAAAAGTTTTGATATGAAATAAAGTAAGTGTTGCTAATTTCACCCCCTGTAATGTAACAGAAATATTGAAAAAATACCCGTGGTTAGTCCTTTGCGATTACAGAATTTCAAGTTTCTAGCTTTACTGAAATTTTAGAAAAAAAATGAAAACTCAATTTTAGTCACCACTTTTTAAGGGTGATATCTCGAAAAGGGGTGGGCTGAGGAAATCTTGTTATAGGAAAGACCCATCTTAATTTCATACGAGCACTCAGTTCCTGAATTTTGTCGCATGTATTTAGAAACACCCTGTATATTACACATTTTTTTAAGCGTGCAAAATTCTTGACAATCTCTTTTCCCTAATTGGCACATGTCGTATTTTTCTAGGATTTACTAACTCTGGCAGCAAACAAATAAAATAGAAATTTGGCATTTTTGCCTTTCAGAATTTTTCATTTCATAAATTAACTAAAAACTAAATTAAACAAAAACCTAATAACGCCTCAACAACAAACTAAGACGATCACAATAATTTCGCACCTCTACCTATTTTTCGACACAGGAATTAACAAATTTAACTAAACGGCAGCTACCCTTTTAACCACGGGCTTCAAAGACTAGCAGCGTTGCCATATTCACTGGTATCATTGTTTTAATAGAATTAGTATCGGAATGAAAACTATATTAATCTTCGGTCCTGTTTAAAATTGGTAATCTTTTTGAAAGAAAGTTATTTAGAAAATAGTTAAGATATTTGTTATAGAATGCCGGTAAAGAGCCAAAAAATTAAATTTATTAAAAAGTTGAAATTTTTGTTGTTTTTCTTTATAAATATAAGTTTTTCTCGGTTTAGCGAAATTCTTGGTTCATTTTTACAACGATTGGCCTGAACCATTTTTTTTTACAATTTTTTTTTAACTGCCTCAAATGTAAAATTGATTTTTGGTGGAGGAGCGCCCGTCATGTTTGCTCTTAAGGTAACGATAATTATCACAAAGCAAATCTTCAATACATTGTAGTTTTTAATTTACATGTACGATTTTCCGTTTGAATGGCCAGCCATCAAGAGCCGAAATAATGCTCCGCCCACCGTTCAGTTCACCCGCCGACCAAAATCAATAATACGTTAAAATTATTTATCATTCATTCCATTTCACAAAACTAATTATGGCTGATTTAGTCTTCTAATAAAAATGCAAAAGAGCGCAAATTCTTCAAATTTGGATTAAAGTTAAAGAGCTATTAAATCGTAAGTCAAATATTTTTTTTGGTTTAAATTATCTTACCTTTGGCTCGTTCACCGACCGTAGACGTCGTAGTAGTAGGAGGCCAAGGCCTATTCGGAGCAATCCTTTCAGGATGCGGTTTCATGGGACTGTTACTAGAATCATGAGGTACAGGACTTGGGCTAACCGGAGGTGGACTAGCGGCCACATAGAAATCTTTGAGTTCCGCTTTCGCAGCTTCATCTGCGATGCGCTTATTATCAATTATAAGATGATAAGCGATTGCGAGTTGATCGTGCGGATCGCCACTGAGCAAAGCGCTGTGCACTTCGGGATCTTGAACACCAAATTTGTCACATACCTAATGATTTAAAAACAGTTTATTTACGATATACAATTATATACAGTGAGGGTATAAAGACCCTCTCCCTTTTATTTTTTAAATCGTAAAAGTTAGACATTTGAAAATGAGATATGAACCCATAAAAAACTTTGATTTTAAACGAGAATAGTACAGTGTCAAAGGTTAAAAATATGCAGTACGCTAGTCTATAGCAAAGAATTCGTTATGAGTAAAAATTTCATTTTTATTGATGCCATTGGAATAAGCTTTCAAATTCTGTATAACTTGCTATATGATCCCATTTAAAATTGTCTTCCAAAACGGCTCCCGTTCGCCATTTTTAATGATTTCGTCACCTAATATCATTAAAAAAATAGATACATTCCTTAGTTCAGTTTCCCCAAATTTCTAACTTTTGTAATGGTTGGAACCGTTATTTCGACACAATCACCTCTTACTCAAATGTCATTTGTCGTCTATATGCTTTGTGTCAGAAAAAGTGACATTGATTTTGATCTAACATACAGCGAATAATAGGTCACTTATATTTTGATTAATCTAGGTCATACGAAGTATTAAATTATATTTAGTTATGTTAATGACCGTCTGATTTTATAAGGTATGTTTTGTTAATAATATGTTATTAAATATCTATATTTTGTGCAATGATTTCTGGTACACTTTTTTTTACATCGTTATCTTTTGGTATTCATTGTATGATGGTGTATAATCATTATTTATTTTTTTTATATTTAAATATAGTAAAGCATAATATCTTATTCCAAAAAATAATATAATTTTATATAGAAGCTAACACATGAGTCATTCATTGCTGATATAGAGGTTATGTTTAAAATTTGACAATTTGTTCAAGAAATCATTGCACAAAATATAGATACAGTCGACTCTCGTTAATTCGAAACTGGAGGGACTCTTAAATTATTACGAATTATCGAGTGTTTGAAATATCAATGGTTCGAAATTTGTGAGAGAAAATAAATAAAACTTCGAATTATTAAGTGTTGATCAATTATTATTTATTAACTGCTATTCTATAACAATGTCAAAAGTTTAGAGGCACATTCGTGAGAAGGCGTGTCAAATAGTCAAACTAGTCATAACAAAAACAAAGACTCGTGTACGTTGATACAAGTTTGAACTTGTCGCAAAATGTACGTATGAACTTACAATTTTTACGACTCTTTCTCTCTGCAACTTTGAATTGTCGAGTTCGAATTAACGCGTCGTTTTGTTATATAGCAATGATTGTTTCGTTCGAATTACCAAGTGCATGAAAATGTATTGATTTAGTTCGAAATATAAAGAGATTTTGTAGGGAACTCGTAATGACTTTAAATTATAGAGAGGTTCGAATTTTCGCAGGTTTGAATTAACAAGAGTTGACTGTATTTAATAACATATTATTAACAAAACATACCTTATAAAATCAGACGGTCATTAACATAATTAAATATAATTTAGTACTTTGGATGACCTAGATTAATCAAAATATAAGTGACCTATTCTTCGCTGTGTGTTAGATCAAAATCAATGTCACTTTCTCAGACACAAAGCATATAGACGACAAATGACATTTGAGTAAGAGGTGATTGTGTCAAAATAACGAAATAACGGTTCCAACCTTTACACTTTTATGGTTCAACAAATAAATGGGGGGAAAGACTTTAGACGCGCATTGTATAATTCAATTCATAAAGGCATAGAATGGATTTTAAATCGTATTTCAGGGAATTTAACAGAAAAAATACCTCTTTTACCGCATCAGTGTCAATAACTGAAGAATCCTGTTCGACAGGCGATGGAAACAAATAAGCTGGACAATCTTTTAGGAACCAATCATGTTTTTTGGTATCTTCAATGCTCGCTCTTTTCATAGGATCGATTTGCAACATCGAACAAAGCAAATTTACTACATTTTTGTTCAAATAATCTGGTATAGGAAATATTCCGGATTTAATTTTTCTAAAAAGACTAGGAACATGTTCATCATCGAAGGGTAAAGTACCGCAAAGTAAAGCATAAAGAATTACTCCGCAGGACCAAACGTCTACTTCAGGTCCAGCATATAGTTTACCTGATATTACCTAGAAAACAAGAAAACAGCTTCAATATCACATAACTATGATAAAAACGAGAATAAAAAGTTTCATGCAAATGGGAAAAAAGTATCTTACATTACACAAAAAAAATTCTGCATTATAATCAAACATTTAAATTTTTTAAAATATAGGTGGTATAGGTACAATTTTAAATTTTAATAAAGAGCAAAATGATAATTAAAATGTTGATAGGAATGAAAGTTTAAGTTATTATTTTGACTTGCTTTATTCAATAAAAAATAATCCACAACATTTTTACTTTCCTATCTGTATACAGATATAAAAAAAGTATAGGAATCATGATTTTTTTCGACCTCGAATTTTCGATGGATTTTTACGTTTTGAGGTCCCCCGATTAGATTTTGGGCAGAGTCGGAACATCTGGGGGGGTACTTTATAGGTGGTCATTTTTATATTTTATGGAATATATCTGTTATTTACGTTTGGGGAAGAAAATTTTTCAAGTAAAAGTTACTTCTTATATTATTATCTATAATTTTTATTCTATACAAAATTTTCCTAAAATGGTCCGTATTCGAGAAATTTGACAAAATGTAAAAAAATATTTTTTTATAAAAATTGTTCAAACAAAAGTTGTTTTTAATATAATTTTCTATAATTTTTATCCTATACATAATTTCTCTAAAATGGACCGTATTCGAGATATTTGAGAAAATGTGTAAATTTCAAAATTTGAAGAAAACTCAAAAACGGATAAAGAAAAAAACATTAAATTTTAAACTTAAGTTTTATTTCGGCCTGACGTGAAATGATTAGATTTTGGACAAAGTCGGAACATCTGGGGGGGTACTTTATGGGAGGCCGTTTTTATATTTTATGGAATATATCTGCTATTTATGTTTGGAGAAAAAAATTGTTCAAATAAAAGTTACTTCTAATATTATGATCTATAATTTTTGTTTTATGTAAAAATTTCCTGAAATGGTCCATATTCGAGAAATTTGACAAAATGTGTAAAATTCTGATTTTTATGAAAATTCTTGAAATAAAAGTTGTTTGCGATATCGATCTCTATAATTTTTGTTTATACATGATTTTTCTAAAATGGATCGTAATGGAAAAATTGTAGGAAAAGTGCTAAATTTAAATTTTTCAGCATTTTCGTTTTCAATGAATATCTATAGAAAAATGTTTCGAGTTAGATGTATGTGGACAATGTATATATTTAGTTTATCCTCTAAACATTTATAGAGATGCTGCAATAGGTTGTACACAATAAACGGAAAAAGCCTGTAATAACTAGATAGGAAAGTCATGTGTTGGACACATCAGATTTTTTTCTTTGTAAAAAGTATGATAAAACTTTTTGAGATACCCTGTACAAAAGTATAGAGAAATCATCTTTTTATTATCACTAGGTATGTTTGAATAACATTGAACTTCCATATCAGTAAAAAAATTTAAATATATTTTCTTTGATAATTATAAAAACTTAATTATTAATTAATTACTACTAATTAAGGAGAATTATATTAAATAAGTTTTGTGAAAAAAAGTTAAAAACCGGTTTTGTGAATTTAAGAATATAAATTAAGGATGACTAATTAACTAATAAATCTGTACATAATGCATAAAAAAAGTTATGAAGCTTTAGATGCAAAGTACTTCTGATGGCGCCCTCTACAGTGTACATCAAAACTGTATACTACATAAGGATTCTTAAGTGCGAACTTGACATGTTATGTGTTGAATAGAGAGAGACATTACATAAGAATCACAGTCTGTCGAATGAAGACAGACATCTTGACATAAGCTGTATTGAAAGATTAGAATCCCACAGCAGATTCCGATTTCTCATATTAAAAACCCCCCAATTACAAATTTTCATGCACATTATGCTATTGTTAAGATAAATATTTACAAAAAGCAAGCAAAAAAGTATAAAAAAATATATAACTTTGACATCCTCCTCTATTAGAAACTATCAACTTTTTGACTAAGATATATGATGCTTATAACAAAAAAAATATGTATAAATTTATTACTCATTGTAACTATACTTTACCTCAGGTGCAGCATAATTTGGAGACCCACAACTTGTTCTCAAAAATTCCCCATCCATCATCATATTAGATAAACCGAAATCAGCAATTTTAACATGCATGTTATGATCTAGGAGCAAATTTTCAGGCTTCAAATCACGATGAACGATCATATGTCTATGACAATAATCAACTCCAGAGATAATCTGTTGGAAGAATCTGCGAGCTTCATGTTCTTGCAATTTTCCATGTTTTACAATATAATCAAATAATTCTCCGCCAGAAACGTATTCCATAATCATAAAGATATCGGTAGGAGTGCTAATAACTTGGTATAATTTTATAATATGAGGATGTCGAAAAAGTTTTAGGTTCTGAATCTCTCTACGGATTTTTCCAACGACATCTAAGCTTTTTATTTTCTGTCTATTCAATATCTTAACGGCTACTTTATGGCCAGTAAGTTGATGTTCGCCTATTTTTACTTTACCAAAAGTGCCCACTCCTAGGGTTTGGCCCAAAATATAGTGGCCGATTTTTACCAGAGGTTGGACCCCCGGTTTTACAGCTTCTGACATATTTATTAATCGTTCACTTACTGTTAACAAATTAAGAAATTTTTCAAATAGATCACATTTTATTATTAACAACGGAGAAAACACCAAAATAATACGTTCAAATTAATTTGAAGTATTTATTTTATTACACCAGTTTTTACGTTTTGCGTGTTGCCAATTCTATTTTTCAATATTTCTTCTTCTTTCTTCTTTAATTATTTGTAACCTCTAACATTTCGGTTATTGTCAGGGTTGCCAATCTGTGAGTAATTCCTCACATTTGTGAGTAATTTACTAGTCTGTGAGTAATTTTGTGAGTAAAGGGCAATTGTGAGTAATATGTGAGTAATCGGGAAGTCAGCGTGGGTATATTTATGGTAGTTAGGCAAAATCTTTTTAAAAATTTCAATATAAGCCTTATTTTACCCCCTAGCACTTTTAGCAGTCATTACAATTTTATAGTTTTAAAATTGCAACGTCCTCTATTGCTTGGTCAATGTAATAGAGTAGAAGTGATTTTGATATTTTACAACACTAGGTTTCGTGTCGATAGTGATAGTCCCATTGGGACTGTCCCAATCGTCGATTAATATTTTTTTTTTGTTCATTTTAAAAGTATATTTTTTTATTAGTAGATTTTTTTAAGTATTAGAAATAATGATTTATTATGAATTAGCCTGTTAATAAAGAAGCTACTCTGATTCTCCAATCTTTTTTATCTGTGTTTTGGATAAATGAAACATTTTGTGAGTTGTTCAATTGCGTTTTTCTCGAAAACGGGTGAAATTTTCTAATCAAAAATATTAAAAAGTTTCGTAAAAAAGCTACCACTTAATTTCATCATCACTTATCATTCACGTGGCGCCTCCTGTAACAAAATGTGAAATAATACATAAAATATTATTCCTTGTCGAAAAATATGCCTTTGTGCCAATTTTGATATCAATTCATTCAGATATACAGTGACGTCAGAAAAATGTAATGCACTGTATCTTATTCCACAGCAATATTTTATTAAGGTATATTTGGTCCTATCGCCATATTTTTGTCCAAATAACCTGCCTTAGCCTATGTCTCAATAGTTATGAATCAACCTGTATATTACTTGGTTATAATAATAGTGAATGCACAGAAAAAAAGGTGCATCTGTTTTGACTCTTATTGAATGTTCTGAAAATTTATCTTTTAATGTTTGGCAACATTGCACGGTAGTAAAATAAATTCAAACCAAAGTGCAAGAGTACAAAATGTACAATTTATATAAAAAAACTATTGATATTTTGAAGTTGTGAGTAATTGTGAGTAATCCGGAAAAGTTTTTGAGAGTAAATCGGTAAAGGCAGGTTGGCAACCCTGGTTATTGTTTCTGCTCGTTGTAACGTCACATTTCACTCCTTCCCGAATCGTCGCGTTATGCTACGTTGCCCAATGTTTAATGAAATGTTACACTACTTTCTTCACGGTATTTTTTTTGAGTATTGATACTTGATTAGCAAATAAAAATATAAAGCTATTTATTATTATTATTATTATTACATTGGTATTGTCACGACTACCCTTCTTTATAAAATAAAAACAATAAACCAACTTTTAGATATAAATACAAATAGGATCTTACAAAAATATACCCTTATTTAGATTGTACTTCATATCTACTTTCAGAGTTAGTTATCTGCATAAAGGTGACAATTCTTTTCGTACAGTAATCAGCGACAATTAATTTTATACATGCCTTTTTAATTTTAAATAAATCAAGCCTTATTTATTCCATATTTGCCTGCTTTGTCTATGCTAACAAAACCTTACCTATGAAATGTTCGCATACAAATATTTTGGCACACTACACACATTTCCTCGCCATCCTAAATGTTCTTATTAAACAGTTTATGTTTATGTCAATTTCCTATGATATAAGTGCAGTCTAATGTTTGGGGAAACAAGCCGTACGTGGTAAAAATGATGTTTAGACTTTCTATGCCATACAAAATTTGTCATGTGTCATCTCAAACTGAGTTTAACTTTAAATAAGATTTAAACAACCCGCTCTTAAGATATCTTTAACTTTAAGGAATCCTTAAGAATGTCGTTGCAAACGGCTGTTAGTTTGACACTATGAATTACCTATTTAAAAATTTTATTTGTACTGGTCCAGTTGATTCATGGTTCCTCAATTCTATCATAATTTGTTGTTTTATCATGTAATTGTAATTAAATCAATATATAATTCCTATTTTTACAACATGTACTTTGTACTTGTAATTAATTCCTTTTTTGAAAAAGTACTTTGTAATTGTAATTATTTTTAATGTATTTACCCAACTCTATTGCCAAACGACACATGTGTAATAAAAGACGATAAATAAAAGTCTTAAGTGATTGTAATGAATAAAAAACTCATTTTTTTTTTAAAGCTTATATTAAAGGGAATAGTACATTTTTAATAAATATTTAATTGCAGGATATTCGATGGAAGAGATATGACAACAAAGGAAGAGCGTACCGTCAGAAAGAAGTTTTGCGGACAAAATTAATTGTAAACAGCGTATGGGGTCTATTCTGTAACAATTCCTTTATATTCAAAGGCCTTTAAAAATATTTTCTTCTTTACTTCTGTCATTATTTAAACGGATCTTTAAATAATGACAGAAGTAAATTAAACGAATACGAAAATGTTTTTAAAGGCCGCCAATATTTTTAAATGCCGTTAAATATAAAGGAATTGTTACAGAATAGACCCCTATCTATCCGATATCTTTGAAAGTTCCGATTCCGAATAAACTATCGGTGATATGCTCCAAAAACAAATAAAAGTAGACAAATTCTTTGAAAATATCCAAAATAAATTTTTCAGATTACTTCTTCTTTTATGTGATTATAATCCGAAGACTATCCACCCGAGGATATGTGCTTTGTGATCCACCCTTTCAGATTAATGAAAACTACTTTTTTTTTTTTTATATTTACTTTGTATTTTATTATTTATAATTATATAAATATCTATTTCCTGTTAATATTAGATAAATAAATACATTTGGCAATCGTGAGATATCTTTGTATTCAAAAGTTAGGTAGGAGTTGATGGAGTTTGAATTGCCGATCGCGTCTATGAGATGCGACTGTATTATGACATGTGTCATAATGACATGACAGTGAAGTGAATGACAGTTATCATCTGTTGCTGTGTTCTTTTATTTTCAAAATAATTTATAATCCATAAACATTCTAATATCAAAAATAAAAAGTAAAGAAATGCCTTACAAACAGATTACAACAAATTAAAATTTAATTTTAGCTACGAACCCATAGTGGTTTAGATAATTTCAAAATAATACATCGTTTATAGTAAAACCCTTTGTTAGAGTTTTATCTTTTAGAAAGAAATGACCACTCCTGACCAAGAAAGCGCATTGAACTTCAATCAGACGCAGTATCAAAATGTACAATCTCCTCTTGATGTTTGTAAGTAAACATTTTAAAAAGATTATTACTCCATAACTGTTTACTTAGATAATAAAAAAAAAAACATTTTCATTATTTTCAATGAAATTTTTCACTATGCGTAATTCAGATATTTCTGTTCTTTTAGCATACGCTCATAGCATTAATACAATAGCTTCATTAAGGGATTACATTATATCTGAAGATTTTTTAGCTGGCCAACGTCTCAATGGAAGAATGTCCAATGTCAGAAGATTTTTTTGCCTATTTGTGACTTTCGATTTTCTGTTTACCTCTTTAATGTGGATTATATGCGTTATGGTGAGTTTTTTCATTTATTTATTAACAGGAAAACTCCATTTTACAACCAGTACTATCTTAATTTATATTATATTCAGTAGTTGCTTTCTTTTTACCACTAAACTGAGCTAACTTACATCGACTAAGCTTAGTTGTAAGATCTTTTTGTTATTGTAAGTCAGAATCTTTCTTCCCCCTTTACTGATGCTAAGGTACAGGGATCTTGCCGTCGACCATAAACCCTAACAGAAAGTGGCTGTTCTATGCATCATGCAAACAAATATATCCTATGATTTCATTATTTTAGAGAAAGTAAAAGACTGATAACAGAAAGCAAGATCGTGGTGTTGAATGTTAATTTTATCATAATAATGTTCACATTTCCATTGAAGATAAAAATAAATCTCACTTCAATCATACCGTAGTGTGAGATGGAAAGAGTGGCACTCACAACATTTTGCTAAAAAGAGATTATTTTTAATTTTCTTCATAGAAACTTAATAAAACAGCATTTTTTTTTGTTTTAGTTAAATGGTGAATATATTATAAAAGCGTTAACAGAACAAGTGATACATTACAACATACATACCTCACTTTTTGATATCGTTTTAGTATCTTTCTGCAGATTTGTCATATTGATATTATTCTATGCAGTCATTTATGTCAACCATTGGATTATTATTTCGGTAAGTATAAATAATAATCATCCAATAATATAACCTTTGTATATTTTTTGTTAAAACTCTATTAAAAATATTAATCATTCTAGAATATATATAAAATCCACAAATCACAGTTTATATTCAATACCCATCTAATTATTCTTTTCTCAATTTTAGATTAGTGATAATAGTGTTAAATTAATTCTCAATGTATTTTTTTATAATTCTAATTTTTTTTCTATCAATTTGTAAATTAATTATTTTGAAAATAAAAGTAATCATATTTTCAGATTTCAACGGCAGCTACTTGTGGTTTTTTAATTACAAAAGTACTTTATTTTGATGTAAGTAAACGTTTTTAAAATTATTAAGTTTTTGTGCTGTTAAAACTATTTTTATATTAAAATTTTTCCTAAAGACTGACAATATAAAACAAACAAAAAATATTATTTTGGTTCAAAATCGTCTTCCTCTGTTCTTTGATTTTTTTTATATAGTGTGAGCCATGGCTAATGCTTTATTCTGTTATAACAAAAAGAAATTGCTTTTTTTTTAATCTGTTTTCACAGCAAGATGTATGTTAGAAAAGGGATAATAATTTAAAAATATTTTCAATTATACAAAGTTCTCCAGAAAAGTTAGGTATTTTTTATTGTTATTTTATATTTAAACTAGCTATTGCCCGCGGCTTTGCTCGCGACTTTGCTCGCATGTAGTCGTGTTATTAATATATTACAATACATGACTTCCTTTTTTATTAATTTTTATTAGTTTTATTGATTTTCATTCATTTTTATTGATTTTCATTCATTTTTATTCATTTTTACTCATTTTTATTCATTTTATTAATTTCTATTCATTTTTATTCATTTTTATTCATTTTTAATAATTTTTATTAATTCTTATTAATTTTTATTAATTTTTATTAATTTTTATTAATTTTTATTAATTTTTATTAATTTTTATTAATTTTTATTAATTTTTATTAATTTTTATTAATTTTTATTAATTTTTATTAATTTTTATTAATTTTTATTAATTTTTATTAATTTTTATTAGTTTCTATTAATTTTTATTAATTTTTAATAATTTTTATTAATTTTTAATAATTTTTATTAATTTTTAATAATTTTTATTAATTTTTATTATTTTTTAATAATTTTTAAGAATTTTTATTAATTTTATTAATTTTTATTAATTCTTATTAATTTTTATTAATTTTTAATAATTTTTGTTAGTTTTTATTAATTTTTAATAATTTTTAATAATTTTTAATAATTTTTAATAATTTTTAATAATTTTTAATAATTTTTATTAATTTTTCCTAATTTTTATTAATTTTAATTAATTTTAATATTTTTATTATTTTTTAATAATTTTTAAGAATTTTTATTAATTTTATTAATTTTTATTCATTTTTATTCATTTTTATTCATTTTTATTTATTTTTATTCATTTTTATTCATTTTTATTCATTTTTATTCATTTTTATTCATTTTAATTCATTTTTATTCATTTTTATTCATTTTTATTCATTTTTATTCATTTTTATTCATTTTTATTCATTTTTATTCATTTTTATTCATTTTTATTAATTTTTATTAGTTTCTATTAATTTTTAATAATTTTTAATAATTTTTATTAATTTTTATTAATTTTTATTATTTTTTAATAATTTTTAAGAATTTTTATTAATTTTATTAATTTTTATTAATTCTTATTAATTTTTATTAATTTTTATTAATTTTTAATAATTTTTGTTAGTTTTTATTAATTTTTAATAATTTTTAATAATTTTTAATAATTTTTAATAATTTTTAATAATTTTTAATAATTTTTAATAATTTTTAATAATTTTTAATAATTTTTAATAATTTTTAATAATTTTTAATAATTTTTAATAATTTTTAATAATTTTTAATAATTTTTAATAATTTTTCCTAATTTTTATTAATTTTAATTAATTTTTAATATTTTTTATTATTTTTTAATAATTTTTAAGAATTTTTATTAATTTTATTAATTTTATTAATTTTTATTCATTTTTATTCATTTTTATTCATTTTTATTCATTTTTATTCATTTTTATTAATTTTTATTAATTATTTTTATTAATTCTTATTAATTTTTATTAGTTTTTATTAATTTTTAATAATTTTTAATAATTTTTATTAATTTTTAATAATTTTTAATAATTTTTATTAATTTTTATTAATTTTTAATAATTTTATTAATTTTTCCTAATTTTTATTAATTTTAATTAATTTTTATAAATTTTTATTATTTTTTAATAATTTTTAAGAATTTTTATTAATTTTATTAATTTTTATTAATTTTATTAATTTTCATCCCCGTTTTCTCCCTTAAAATGTGAACATTCAAAAACCAAGAAACACATCATTTTTGATTTTTAGTCAGTAGCTGTAATTCAAATTTTTATGTTTCAAACTTTCAATAACAAAAAAATATATACATACTATTAAACAAATTTTGACCCCCCATTTTTCCCCATAAAATGTTGAAATGCAAAAACACTTCATTATTTATTTATGAGAACCTACAATTCCAATTTTCAAGTTCTTACTTTTAAAAGAATCAATATTTTCATGTAAACTTTCACCCCTCCCCCCATCCCCTGATTCCCCCACTTAAAATGTGAAAATCCAACAAACCCTAAAACACGTCATTATTAATTTGTACTCATTAGCTGCAATTCCAATTTTCATGTTTCTAACTTTAAAGAAAACAAAAAAAAAATTGATAGTCCCATACAAACTTTAACCCCCCGTTTCCCCCCCTTAAAATGGGAAAATCCAAACACCCTGAAACACGTCATTTTTTATTTTTGCTTAATAGCTGTAATTTAAATTTTCATGTTTCTAACTTTAAAGAACAAAGAATTTCATTAAAAGCTCCCTCCCCCCATTTCCTCCAATTTCCCCCCTTTAAAGTTAAAATTTCCAAAAATCCTTTCTTAGCGGATGCTTACATTATAAAATAAACCTATGTTCCAAATTTCAGCTTTCTAGGATCAGTAGTTTTGGCTGTAGGTTGATAGGTCAGTCAGTCAGTCAGTCAGTCAGTCAGGACAAACAATTTTATATATATAGATTACTAACATTTTTCCCGTTATAACATTATCAATGTGTGTCTGATGTATAGGGTGACCCAATGAAAAGTAGCCTGTTTCCATTTCATAAAATTTGGTTACAGTGAATTTAAAAGAAGAGATTTTTAAAAAATCACCCTGTATAGGTAATACATAATTTCTGTGTCATTGAAGCAAAACTTATAGCCAAATAACACATATCAGCAAAAAACACACGTTTCTATTTGTTTAAAAGTTATAAGCTCTGAAAATGGGCTACTTATCATTGGGACACCCTGTATATAATGAGATCAACAGAAGAAGTCGTTTTGATGCTTGCTGATAGTCTTTGTTATGTGCATGTTTCTATCAAACTTCGTTCAACACATTGTACAGTATACTTTACGTACCTGTATGTTATTAATAACTTGACAATTTTATTTTGAAACAATATAGCATTAAAGGAGTTTTTAATGAATACCTAAAAAATATTTTTTGACAGTTTTTATTTTGAAGAAAATGTATCCTTTAACTTTTTTAGTGGCCACACTCGTCTCAACCAGTTTTTGAAGTACTTTTAGTGTTGGTATCGTTTATACTAGCTTGGGGTGAAGCTTGGTTTCTAGATTTTAGGGTTATCCCCCAGGAAACCTATGCAAACAGATATATTGTTGGTAAGAATCGTGCAATTCAAATTTTTTACCCTATACAACAAATATTTAAAAAAAAAACATTTTTAGCTGGTGAAAATGAGAGAACGCCACTTATAAGAAGTTACGTTCAAGGTCTTCCGTCAATGTACACTGAAAGCGTTGGAAATTTTTATTCTCCACAAGGTAGTCCTGAAGGTTCGTTACATAGATATCAACCGAATGAACTCTATCCGCGTTATATTGTGCCTCTGAGATTATCCCGTCAAGAGGTATGTAAATTTATTTATTTAATGTATTAATTATACAGTGGAATTTTATTTAAATGTCAATATGTCTAAGCCTAAATTCGAAATTGATGAGTCTTGTTCGAAAAAAATTTGAAATTCAAAAAGTCTATATTACAATTTTAAATGGGCTTAAATGTGATTTAAAAAGTGAACAACATTGTTGGTTGTAGTCATAGTCATGGCGTCTCTTGTAAGTGTGGTAATTTTTTTTTTTTTATTTAAGATTGTTTTTAAAGATTCTATTTTATTTGATTATAAAAGTTTTGAGTGTGTGCAAACTGTTTGCTTGATTGAGAATTAATTGATTTCTTAGTGGACTGTAAACTTGTGAATGTTTTAAATGTTTTATTAAAACTGATATATAAAAAAATGCAAAGCATAGCAATACCCCGATTTGTGCGGAGCACAGAGTTGGTTTAGGCTCGTAAAATAGTTATTTGTGTAACTAGTGCAAAAAGTGTATCTTTGTTGCACGAAGCATGAATTTTGCAGCTTGAGACGAAGTCGAAAGCTGCAATCATGCTGAGTGCAACAAATATGCTTTTTGCACGTGTTGCACACAATATTTTTTCTACGATCGAAATAAAAAATATACTCTTATATCAAATTTTATTAGAATATTTTACAAAAGGTACAACAAAAATCTCTTATTTTACTTTTTTGAGTTTATTTCAATTTTAATGTCGCAGTTATTGCAGTTTACTCTGTTTAGTGACGGAAAAACTTCATTTCCAGCAATATTTTGAATTTTGGTTTCATTTTTGACTGGCTCTTCATTTGAAACACCTCTTTTTCGTATTGTGAAGCTTCCGGTGCTGGTACTTGGTTGATCTTCAAGAATTTGAGCAGCTATTTCTGTTTTTTTAGAAATAGACTCATCAATGTAGCCCTCAGCTACAGTTGAGGATTTCCACCCTCCGTGCCGTTTCAAAGTTAATATATCTGCGCCGGGTTACAGAAGATCTGCGAAAGCAGTGTCCCGTGTATTCCATTGGGTTTTCAATATTTAAATATTTGGCAATATCACTTGGGATTTTGCCAAAAGTGTTTACACCAACAGGTTGAACGGAACATTTTCCGTCATAGTATCTAATAAAAAATCTATTGTGGCTTGTTGATTGGGGACGGAGGGATGCATATTTGCGATACATTTCCACAAAATTAAAGGATCTAATTTGTCCGCTTATTACAAATGATCGAGGTTTGTTGGTCTTGCTGTCGGGAATTTTTACTGTTATGATAGAATTCATGTTATTTATATCATTTAAAGTAAGTTTCTGTAACTCATCCCTGCGGCATGCTCCTGCAATCCCAAATACTGCAACTATCTAAAAGAAGCAAATACCTACGTATAAAGTTAAAAAAAGATTATTTTTATATTTTACCTTCATCATTAAATATTTACTGTCGGGAGCTTCAACTAAAAACTTATCAAGTTGCTCTCTTGAAAAAACTTTGGACTTTTTGGGGCGATACCCTACCGACTTCTTCTTTAAAAAAGGAATTAATTTTTGAAAATTTCGAATTTCCACATTATTGTTTATTAAAAGTGTAGCCTTTAGCATTGAGTACTCTGACCACAAAGTCGATGGCTTCAGTATTTCCGACTTTTCTTTTAAATATGCAAGTACTACGTTTTCTGTAATATTTCCAACAGATTTAGTCTCACACCATTCTGTCTAACCGTTTATAACATACTTCATAATTTTTTTTTGATTTATTGGGTAGTAAATCTGCCGTTGCTTCATTAGCTCTTTCCACTAAATCTGGAGGAGTACAGAAACTGATAGTTTCTTCCTCACTATCCGAACTGAACATTTTTAATAACTTTACAACTTAATAAATGTTTAAACTATTAATTTGACACACACAGAGACAAATACGCAGATGTAACTGGATGTTAACACGAAAATATTCTGACAGTTCAGGGTATTTACAAAATAATTCATAGGTAACTATGAAAATTAAGAAATATTTGCATTAATTAAAATTAGAGTAAAAAATCTTTCAATTTTGTATTTTATTTCATTCCTATCTAACAAGCGAGTTTGGTATTAACAAAAGGGTAGATAAAATATATATTTCTACTTTTTGAAATTTAATCACAAATTCCAGTAATAAAGTGACTGTATATATTTTGGTTTACGAAACGTTTCTTTAAAACCCATGATGGCCTAACGGCTAAGATGTTTACCACCCACCGGAGAAGTTCGGGTTCGATTCCCGGCGCTGTGTTCTTTTTTTATTTTTTTCCAAAAAATTGACTGACAATTCGAAGTGTTTTTTGCACTAGTGCAAAAAATAAGTTACTTTTTTGCACTAGTGCACAAAAGTAAGCTACTTTTTGCACTAGTGCAAAAAATTAAACTTTTGGCACAGTATATAGAGTAAAAAATAGTCACTTTTTGCACGATCGTAGAAAAAAGTCATTTTCTTAAATTATTGTATCCAAGGCATGGGACATTTTTTTTTCCAATTTGATCAATTTTTTGAATGCCTAATGAAATCATATTTATATAGAATGATTTACTAGAAACAAGAAAACTTTAATGCGAGGTTATGTTAACGATATAATTTGAATAATTAATTATATTTTTTTATATTTGATTCGGAATAAAAATATATGATTTCTTTGGAAAAATTTAAAAATTCTTAAAATAGAAAGTAACTATTTCAATATTTTATGAACAAACGTCAAATATCAAAATTTTTATTTATTGGAAATAATTTTTTTTTTTAATTTTGGAAATACACAAAAATTATAAATATATTTTTAGGAGGAACTTTATAAAGATGTAGCTAATAAAACGTTAATAGAAGCATGGGAACTATTTCAAATGAACGATTGGATTCTTCAAAAAGTGCATCAAAACGACAGTGTGTATTCCAGAATTGGTAGTAATAAAAAGAAAATATTTAAATTACAGGTAATTACTTATATTTCTTTCTCAACTTAACCACGAACGATTCCCTGCACATTTAAGTGATATTAGAATTGTGGATTCTTTTTGCACATCCTACAATGCAAACACTGTAGCAGATGTTAATTATTTATTCTTTAAGTGTAATAAATATATCATAGTATTATATCAAGAATTAAATAAACTTTCCCTCCTTTCACTCAATATATATAAATCTTTTATTTAGTCTAAAAACAACTAATACAAGGTCAAACACTTTCTCACTAAAAATATATTTAACTAAAATAAGTTAGTAATCTAATTGTAGTCATATAAAATAAAATATAATTAAACAACACACATAGAATAATAATAATATTAATAACAAATACTTCAATACCTAAATTACCAACTTACATCTAACAAATATTGTTTTAGTTAACATTTAAATATATTAATTGATTCTAATTTCTTTAGATCTTCTGACAAGTCATTAAATTGCTGTAGGCCTTTAAAAAAGATTGAATTTTGAACATGACTGGTGTTGACGGTACTAATGTAAAAATCATTTCTAAGTCTTGTATTATGGGTGTGAACATTGGAACCTTGTAGTGGACGGGCTGCTTAGGGCTCTCAAAGATAAGGGACATAGAACCCTGGGATATGCCGATGATCTAGTGATCATGGCACAGGGAAAATACAACACTATAGTAAGAAATCGAATGCAAGAGGCTCTAAATATAGTAACAAAATGGACAGAGGCGGAAGGACTAAACATTAGCCCAAACAAATCTGACATAATTGCATTCACCCGCAGGAGGAAATTGGAGGGACTAGGGCCTCTAAACCTAAGAGGTGCAAGCATCCAGCTTAAGGGGGAGGTAAAATATCTCGGTGTTATGATTGACTCGAGACTTACCTGGAACCAGCATCTAGAAAGAACCACAAGCAGAGCGGAAACCTCATTAATGATGGCAAGGCGATCCTTCGAAAAAAAATGGGGATTAAAACCAGACATGGTATATTGGATTTATAACATTGTGGTGAGACCCATAATAACATACGCAGCTTTGGTGTGGTGGCCAAAGACACAGCAAAAGAAAGCAATAACGAGGCTTAGCAAGGTACAAAGACTTGCCTGCAATGAAAACAACCCCCACTGCTGCAATGGAAGCACTAATAGGACTCCTTAGATAAAAGAGACCAGAGATATAACATACACCGGTGTTTAACCTGCGCAAATGTTGCCAGTTTCTAAAGAAAGGTTAACGGAGTGGGGGAACTGGGCAGGGACTCGAACTCTGTGACAGGGACCGGACTTTGTTTATTAGCATCATAATGAACTATTAGATTTATTTAAAATATACGTTTAATGGAATTTTGTATTATGAAATAATTTTAACGTGATTTTTTAATATCAAACAGATGCCACGACATTTTATGTAAAGAGAAGACCTTTAATAGAATATTTCGTTAGCTATTATTTACTATGGACTTTTCTGTAAGAGACTACAGTAAAATGTTGAAATAGAATATTGTTAATCGAGTAAGAAATGGTACTCATTGTCTAAGAGTATTATAAAAAAGCATGTGCGCAGGCGAATACTGCAAATCAACTTGTGAGTTGAACATTATATTTTTTCTACGACTATCACATAATATTAAAATTTAGTCAAAATGAGAAAATGCTGTTTTGTATTATAACCTCAGAAAAAGATATATTAAAGCTTGTTTCTTTAGGAATATTAATTAATATAGAGGATGCGTCACATAAAACTCTAGAAATGTATATGTCTGAAACCAGATAACATTTTAAAATTTAAACCTATTAAAAGTCATTTGGTCGCTAGGAGTGGGTGATTATCGAAATAAATTATTGATCATTAATAATAATCGATTATTTTCGATCAATCTATTTTTGTTCGTATTTCCTTTAAAATTGACTACTTGATTATCTTTAAAAAATAAAAAAAAATAGATTAATTAAAAAGCCAATTAACCGATAAATCAGTGTTTACAAAAAATAATAAACGAATTATCGTTTATTTTAAATAATCGATTATTTTTAATTTCTATTTTTTTGTCGTATTTCCATTGAAACATTATTCGATAATCTTTGAAAAATCTAAAATAATCGATTAATCAAAAATAATCGATTAATTAAAAAATCGAAAAGAATTATTTCCTTTAAAATCAATTATTCGATCATTTTTGAAAAATCGAAAATAATCGATTAACGGAAAATAACCAATTAATTAAGAAGATTCTACGATAAATCGCTTTTCAAAAAAAAAAAACTGAATAATTATTGATTATTTATAAATAATCCTTTTCTTTTTTTATATTCCTTTTAAGACTGATTATTTAATTTTCTTTGAAAAATCGAAAATAATTGATTAATAAAAAGCTGATTTACCGATAAATCAATAATTCTAAAAAATAACCGAAATATCGATTATATAATATAACCGATTATATTCGATCAATTGATTATTTTTATATAATCTATTTTTTGTATTTTAAAACAAATTATTTGAATACCTTTGAAAATACGAAAATAATCGGTTAATAAAAAATAATCGATTAATTTAAAAAGTCTATTAAACAATAAATCGATTTTTCTAAAAAAATCGATTATTTTCAATAAATCGAATATTTTTAATAAATCTACTCTCTTTTTGTAATTCCTTTATAATCGATTATTCTATTACCTAAAAAAACGAAAAAATTTATTAAAAATGTTCGATTAATCAAAAATAATCTATTAAAGATAATCGATTAATTATAACGGATAAATCGATTTTCATGAAAACGATAAATCGATTATTTTTGTAACCCCTATCGGTCGCATGCTTTTATTAGAGCATTTAGCTCCAAAATTTAGAGATTCGGATTTATTGATCCTGTTATCAAACGAAGATATTTTTCGAGTTGTTTAGGGATGTATAATGAAACATTTTACTAATAATATGACTAATTTCCGTAACTTTAGTATTTTTTGCTTATACTAGATCATATTGCGCGTTTTACTTTGTTTTAAGATTCAAATGTCACTTCTGATTTAACCGCAAATAAAATAAACCTTGAAATTTTAAGTAGGTGAACCTGTATTTCATCTAATATTCTTGTAAAAATATCTAATAAAGGGCTAAAAACCACTTTTAGTATATATTCTTATAAAACTACTTTTTAAAAACAAAATTTCGTTAGTAACAATGCCTATTTACTTCTTTTTTAGATTAAATATTTATTGAAACCCCTTAATGCGGATCTGAAGTATTTAGCTCAAAGAATCATGGCGACTTTATGTCAAAACGTCAACAAATATTTACCGCTGAAAACGAATATATTTCTTATTTTTCATAACATTGACACATATTATTAGTATATACAATTTTTCACCATACATCGTGGCATTTTCAACTTGAAATTGAATAACTAAAACACTTTAAATTGCTAATAACACCAACAAATAATTCAAAAACGGCGGTCCATAAATGATTTACTCATGCGGAGACAAGCAAAGAATAGAAATTTCGGAGCAATTCGGGTGGCGTCGTGAACACAATGATTTTTAATTGGTGGGTTACTTAGGTTTGGAATAGACAACATGCGCAATGTGCAATGTTACATCTCCGGTCTCTTTTATCTAAGTAGGACTCCCACTTCTTCACTATGTGATACAAGGGGAGGCAAGATTAGGTGCTTACAGATTAGGGAATACACTGGGAAATCTTGACATTAGGCCAGGTCACATGAGTATCTCAAGGTTAGTGACAGGAGACGTGCTAGACATGAGATGAGACCACTTAACCAAGAGGTACTCTTTTAATACTCCCTTTGAGGTTTTAATACAGGAAAGAGCGGAGATCACCATAAGGGAGCCCAATGCCCAACGACAGGAACAAACCTGATATACAGACGGGTCTAAGACTGCGGAAGGCACTGCGGCAGGAGTATTCTCCAAAAACCCTGATACTAACCATAGCTATGCTATAGGAATACATTCCTCGGTATTTCAGGCCGAGGTATACGCAATTTTGCAATGTGCAAAAACGAACAATGAAAGAGCTGTCGAAAATCAGCATATTCAAATAATGTCAGACAGCCAAGCGGCACTTCAGGCCATATCGAGTCAGAAGGTTACGTCGAGGCTGGTATGGGAATGCATCGAAGAACTAAGAACACTGGCAGACCGAAATAGAGTAAAACTATTTTGGGTGCCAGGTCACAAAGGGATCGAAGACAACGAAAAGGCTGACGAACTTGCAAAAAGAGGGTCAGAAGAAACACCGGAACAAGACACAAACCCAGGAGTACTAAAAAGTACAGTCCGGGGTTTTATAAATGACTGGATTCGGGAACAACATATCAACTATCGGGGAAGCACCCCAAAACAGGCACATGGAAAAGCCTTCATAGGCAGACCATGTCCCAAAAGAACTGGAGAACTACTCTTAATGAATAGGAACCAATTGAAAGTGATAACAGGGTTCATGACTGGGCACGCCCCAGTAAAGGGACACTTGAACAAAATTGGCATGTACAATGGGGAACTCATGTGCCGACTATGTCACAAGAAACCAGAAACGGCCAAACACATATTGTGCGAATGCGAAGCTCTAGATCGCAAAAGACAGGCTCTTTTTGGACAACCCCAGGTTGATCCAACAACGTATAGAACCCAGTCACCCAAGGATCTATACAAACTTGTACAAGGTACAAAGGTGATAGAGTGGGCGCTATGAACTGACATGGGGTAAAACATAATAAGCCAATAGGCTTCAGTATTCGGAGACACATAGTCAGACGAGCCCAGGAGAGAAAAAAAAATCACAAATTCAGCGATTGTTCCTAAATTTGTAGACGGACATTTACTTCCCATGTAAAAACGCAATATACGGTTTGCCTTTGTAAGCCATTATGTGTGTGATAATTTACCTGGATTACGAGCTGCTAGATATAATGAACAGTATCCTCTAGAAAAGGAACAAAATGCAAGACTTCAACATTTTTTCTATAGCTCCAGAGTATACACGAGGTCCTGAAGTTTCTCCATCAAGATATTGAAAAATATGATGTAGAGGCAGTTCATTCATGTGTAGCTGACATCATCCACTGCAGAGGACGTTTCAGTTTTGTTTCTAAATGCCGCAAAACTCAATTCTTCCTTCCTGTATTAACTACTGTTCCATCACTGGATTGAACAAGTTTGAAGGGTTTCGTGACATAATATTTTCTGAATTTGTTTATTAATGTAAAAGTCTGATGCCAGGAACTTGTGAATAGGTGCATTTGGTTTATGTTTTTTACTAGAATTTTATGTATTTTATTTTCAATTTGATGAAAGGTAGAGGTCTGAAGACATTTATTTTTCACTGAAATTTTAGGAAATAGTTTACTATAAGTAATGACAGCTTCCAGTTTGTATTAAAAGTTAAACAAAAATTTTTTTTTGTTTTTTAAAATTGTTGATAGCCCTAAAGATATATTTTTTTTTAATTGAAAATTCAGAAAATAGCTTAATATGTGTAACTTTTCTTAGGTATTATATAGTTCCACCCTAATGAGCAACCCTTATTCTAATTTCACCACTCTCAGCGCCACCCACGACTTCCTTCACAGTAGGTGAAGTCAGAAGCCTGTTACAATTAATATCAATTAATTTAAAACTTTTTAAATTGACATTTTCAGTTCTAATTTTAATAGGAAAATCGGGAGCAGTACATTCGATTTCCTTTATATTATTAACATAATATCGGGCATTTTAAAGATATCTTTTACGACTTGATTTTCACTCACTTCAACTTCTTTCAAATTCTTTATTCTTCTTAGGAACCATTTCCTGCAATACCTTCCACAATTTTATAGAATCTTGTATGTTATCCACAATTTGTTGTTCATAGTATTTCGTTTTTTCAGTTCTCATTACTTTGACTGCTGAATTTCTTTTCTGTTTTTATATTTCTCAATTCTGATCAGTTTTATTTGAAACATACTTGCAACTGTTATCCCTATCTGTAATAAGCTGATTCTTAAAAGAAATCAAAATTGATGTCTTTAATGATTTCTATAAACCAGAATCGTCAATTATGAACAGTTTTTTTTTTATAAAACTACTGTACTAGTTGTACGAATTTATGAAACAAATTTATTTCTTATATGATAAAGAAAAAAGATATGTCCATGAACGTACCCTTAAAATCATTCCCTCACTATGTCCCAACTGCTAAATTCGAAGATAATTATTAACTTAAAACATAAAATTCCTGACTAATTGTTTGTTATCTTATTTTTTACTTATATAGAATAGTATTGACTGTACCTACATGCGAGTTCATAGTTTAAAAAATGCGAATGGAAATATTTTTTATAATTCAAAATTTGTCCTTGAAAAATCTATCATTCCCTCACCTTTTTGAAACAGTGTGATTGGAGCGAAATTAAAAGGCCTACAAAGCCCCACTTCAATTTTTTTTTGTAGTTGACAATATTGACCTCGATAACATACACTAGAGCGTATTGTTGAAGAAAAGATTTTTGCTAAAACTAATATGACAAGTTTTTTAAAGCCATTTTCGACTTTTTTTTGAAAATTATACAAGAGCATTTTCAATATTTTGATTCCACCAATTCTTATATTGGGGAAAGTTTTTAATAAATGTTATCGGCGTAAATCGAGGGGTAAATACATTGGGAATTCTTGTGTACACCTGTTTGGGAATTCCCGGAAATTTTTAGGAATTTCCAGGTATTCTCAGGAATTCCCAGGTATTCTTGGGAATTCTCAGGTATTCCCAGGAATTCTCAGGTATTCTTTGGCAATTCTCTATAAAAATCTGATGTGTCCAACACATGACTTTCCTATCTAGTTATTACAGGCTTTTTCCAGTTATTTTGTATAATCTAATGTTTAGAGGATGAACTAAATACATACATTTTCCACACACTTTTTTATATTTGGTGTTTTTTTTTTCCTTTTTTAAACTGAAATTCGAAATTTGCAGTTTTCCAAAAATATCTGGAATACGGTTCATTTTAAAAAATTCAAATATTGTACTTTTTGTTAAATTTCTACAATACAGACCATTTAAGAAAAATTATGTATAGCACTAAAGCGAGCACAAAAGTTATAAAAAATGCTATTGCAAAAAACTTTGGACAAAAATATTTCTTCTTTAATCATAAATAACTGAAATTCGTTAAAGTAAAAAAATCGACCCCCATAAAGCCCCCTCCCCCCCCCAGATGCTTCGACTGTGCCTAAAATTTAGTCAGCTTACCACAGAATGTGTTTAAGCTTAAATTGAAAATTTGGTGTTTTTCTCTTTATCCCTTTTTGAGTTATGTTCAAAATTCGAAATTTTCACTTATCTTCAAATTTCTCAAATACGGGCCATTTTAGGAAAATTATGTATAAAACAAAAAATATAGAGAATAATTTTGCAAACAACTTTTCTTTAAGGAAGTTTCTTCTGCAAGCGTATATTTAATAAAGTAGAAAAATGACCCTGCATAAAGTACCCCCTAGATTTTCCGACTATGTCCAAAATCTAAACAACTTACTGCAGGGTAGATTAAAGCTTAAGTTTATAATTTGGTGTTTTTCTCTTCATTCGTTTTTGACTTATGTTTAAAATTCCAAATTTTCACTTTTTCTCAAATTTCTTTCACGGCAGGGTGGATTAAAGCTTAAGTTTATAATTTGGTGTTTTTTCCTAATCCTTTCATGAGTTATCGCGTATAAAGAAACACGCGCAAGCACGCTCGCACCCGCGCACGCACCTACGCACGTACCCACGCAACCTCGCATCCGCGCACGCATCTACGCACGTACCAGCGCACCCACCCATGCACCCACCCTCGCATCCACCCACGCACCCACTCACGCACCTACGCACACATAGAGGAGAAAGTAAAAAATGTTCTCCAAATAACCCTCATAAAGGACAAAAGGAAGGTGCAAAATAAAGTTATTAGAAAAATTAATAACAGTACGAAAATTTTATTTAAAAAAAGTATACTGTAAAAATATTTACCTTAAAAAAACTTCAAATGTTGCTAAACAGTGGATAACGGCAAAATGTTATTTTTGATCGTTGATAAAATTGGACATACAGGGATTTTCAAACATTGTCAATTATAATTAAAATTGTTTAGAATTGAACAATACCTGGAATATATTATCCAAGTATGCAATGGAATATATCTGTTATTTACGATTATAGAAGAACTTCTTCAAATAAAAGTTGTTTAAAATATTATTCTTTATAATTTTTGCCCCATACATAAATATCCTAAAATGGCCTGTATTCGAGAAATTTGAGAAACAGTGAAAATTTTGAACTCAAAAACGGATAAAGAGAAAAACACCAAATTATAAACTTAAGCTTTAATCTACCCTGCGGTAAGGCAAATGTAGTTTGGGCATAGTCGGAACATCTGGGAGGGGGGCACTTTATGGGAAGTCATTTTCCTACTTTATGGAATATATCCATTATTTACGCTTAGAAAAGAAACTTCTTTGGATAAAAATTGTTTGAAATATTATTCTCTATAAGTTTTGTCCCATACATAATTTTCCTAAAATGGCCCGTATTCGAGAAAATTTCGAAATTTTGAACATAACTAAAAAACGGACAAAAGGAAAAACACCAAATTTTTAATTTTAATCTACCCTGCGGTGAGCTGAATATATTTTGGGCATGGTCAGAACATCTGGGGGGTACTTTATAGAAGGCCATTTTCCTACTTTATGGAATATATTTGTTATTTACACTTGGAGAAGAAACTTCTTTGAATAAAAGTTGTTTGCAATATTATTCTCTATAATTTTCGAGATAATTTTGGTTGCATACTTAATCTTATCAAAATGACCCGTATTCGAAAAATTTGAGGAAATGTGAAAATTTCGAATTTTAAATTATATCTCAAAAATGAATAAAGAGAAAAACACCAAATTTTAAACTTAAGCTTAAATACATTCTGTGGTGAGTTGTCTAAATTATGGACATAGTTGAAGCATCTGGGGTGTTTTATAGGGGGTCGTTTTTTTAATTTAACGAATATCTCCGTTATTTACTATTGGAGAAGAAATTTTTTTGAATAAAAGTTGTTTGCAATATAATTTTCTATAATTTTTGTCCCATACATAATTTTTCTTAAATGTTATCCTTTATATTTTTTGTTATATACATGATTTCCCTAAAATGGACCGTAGTCGAGATATTTGAGGTAAACTGCAATTTCGAATTTCAGTTTAAAAACGGAGAAAACACCAAATATAAAAAATGTTTCGAGTAAGATGCATGTGGAAAATGTATTTAGTTCATCCTCTAAACATTTACAGGTATGATACAATAGGTTGTACAAAATAACCGGAAAAAGCCTGTACCTAATAACTAGATAGGAAAGTCATTTATTGGACCCATCAATTTTTTTCCAAAGTTAAAATTTTTCCCCCACAGTTAATACCTATCTTATCTTTTTATTTCTTATATTTTATCAAAAGTAAAATATGATCTAAAGTGAGGGAAAAAATGCTAATCATTAGTTAATAAATCCGGAACAATTATTTATTTTCCTAATAATTTAAGGACCTCATTAAGGACCTTATTTACTAACTCTAGATAAATCTTTAGAAATACTTGGTTATTCTCATATATTTTTCGGGCATTATCTGGATATACTCAGTTATTCTCTCAGTATTCCAGGTATTTTCTAGGTATTCCCGGGAAGTCTCTGGGTATTCCCGGGAAGTCTCTGGGTATTCCCAGGAAGTCTCTGGGAATTCCCGGGAATTCTCAGGTATTCCCAGGAATTATCAGGTATTCTTTATGTTAGGAATTCTTGTGTACACATTTTTTGGATGTGTTTACCCCTCGGCGTAAATTCTTCCAATGCATTCACAATTATTTTTTTTTTAATTTTTAGGCCGATATAGAAACTTCGCCGCGTTACCTATTAGACGAACTTTACTACAGAGAACAGGAATTTCCGAAATGGAATTCCGCTGTAAAAGAAAGCCACAAAGTTCATTCTTTCGACGAATGTACCGATATAACTTATACCATATCGAAAGATTCCGCTGGTGGTTTGGTATCTAGTCGAGATTTCGTTAATTTAAGACATTGGGCGAAACGAGCCAACAGTTATATAATTTGTGTTTGCAAAACCGAACATCCTTCTCTTCCGAACAACAAAAAAATGACAAGGTAAGGTAACAGTTTTGGAATTCGAAAAGAGGTCATATTTTGAAACATTGCTTTAATATTCATTTATTCGTTACAATTATTCCTATTTTTACTTTTTATCATCACCATGTATAAATATATTAAGGTGGGAGTTTAATTGCTTTTAATTTTAATTCCAAATGAATTTGAAAACGATAAAAGATGACGACCTAACATTCGGTAGCCATTTTTTAAATAAATCAGAGCAGTTGCTGACACTAATATCAATAATGCAATTTTAAAACCAATCAAAATAAAAATTTAAATAATTATAAAAAAATAAAATAGAAAACAAGCAAATAGTCTATTAAAAACCAATTACAATTACGTTGAAACCAATTCTCAAATCGATGTAATAATGAAAAAAATTGAGAAATAAAATACAAGCCGAAATTTCAAATAATATACGCGGTAATACTATTTTCTACCTTCATTACGGATGATTTTAGTTCCCGCATTCGTTGACAGATCGAAAAACAAGCCAGTTGACTTGTTCTCATGGCGATTTCAAACATTCTATTCGGAATATAGTTTGGAGCATTTAAAACCAAACGGAAGACAAAATCTGTACCTATTTAAGAGTACCTGTAATTAAAATAATGGCATGGCAACATTGTCAAATCACTTTGCACTTTGTATGTATTTGTGACTACATCGTATTTTTAGATTTTCTTGTTTTATTTCACGGAGCTGTAAAGTCATTTGATATAATGTTTTTAACTGTTCAAGAACACTTATAGTATTTTTAATACAAATCCCGATGCACGTCAGAGATCATTTATGACGTCACGGCCTTGCAGTGTTGCCTAATCGTCAGAATAGTTGAGGAATTTAGAATTTTTTAAAATTGTAAGGTTATGTATTTGTTATGTTACTATATAGTAGGAACAATTAGTTTTAAATGTATATAACTAATGGAAAATATTGAATTCCTTTATGAATAATAAACATCTGAACAAAAAAGCTTTAAACATATTATGCAAGTCATGGAAAATAAAACTGTAAGGTAGTATATTGCAGATGGATCTAAATTGGTTTAGAATTAGCACAGAAAATATCTAAAACTAATTTAATTTCACCAAGAAAGTTATTTAACAGAACTACATTTAAGTTATAAACCACAACACCCCATAAAATTAAAGAGGTCGTTGAAAAAATGAAAACTACAAAGGCATGTGGAGGATTCATAATATCAGTAGATACCTATACTTAAAGAATTAAAGTTTGAAAATGCTAAAATATTTGAATACAAGAAGGAAATTGTTAAAATATTTGAGTAGGTGCTTTAGTAAATCTCACTTTCAGTAACGGTTCTGTAGCTCAAAAGTATTCAATATAGCCAGAAATGCTTCAAAAATAAACAGATATCGCTACTTCTTTTCGACTCTAAAGTTATCGAAACATGTATGAACAATAGATTCATCACTCAAACATCAAGATTCTCCATTCTATCAGCTTCAAAAGACATTTGAAAAATGTTATTCTCAGTCAAATATTTTTTTGATATCTTTCTAGGAATAAATTAAATAAAAATACAGATATATAAGAAATATATCAAACTGTTTATTGTTTTAAAAATTAGACAATGTTTTTTTTTTTAATTACACTATTTTCTCATAAAAAAACAATTATTCATCTATTAATCTTCATTATTCCTATAAAATTCTTTTATTTCTCCTAATCCAGATCGCAAGTATTTGAATCGCAGTCATCGATATCGCTATTAGGGTTAATTATAATAAAAATAATTTTCAATCTATTAAAAAATCCCTCTCTGCCAATATGTTTATTATTATATTGCTTAGAAAGGTCACAAATAAGTTCAATGGAGTTAAAAATAAAATGGCAGGGAAGATTACGTAATACTTTGTCTATATTGTTCTGCTTAGGTAATTATCTACCATATATTTCTTTGGCGGTTTGCACCTGAAAAAAGAATGTTTTATTTAGTTCTATTTAGTTGCCATTTCGTATAACGTGTGTCAATATCACTATATTCTAAACTGTAATATCTAAACAACACATTATATCAATGATTTAATGTTAGGTACACCGTTATATCAAATCTTGTAACTTCATTTTTAATTTTTTGATATTGTTTTAAAGTTTATTTCTAAAAAAAAAGGCATTTTTGGGTGTCACTGTACATCTTGAAAATGTGTAAAACATGTAGATGTTTATTGACCACTGTAATCAAATTTTTCCAATTAAATTGTCTTTATATGATTGTTAGAGTAACGTATCTACCATTAAATCTTCAATATGATGTGTCATTTCAATATTAATATTTATTTTTACTTGATTTACACAATTACTGATACCTTAATTTGCTTCAAATTTGGTTTTATTTCTTGCCATCAATTTTTGTAGGTCTAACACCCTTTGTATTATTTTCCCAGGAGCTGTTTAATGTTTCATTTTGGACGATACATGTTTCATCAATGACAACGAATTGCTTCTGTTGTAATTCTATAATTTCTTAAAAACTGACCTATTTACAGTTCACGTCTTGGTTATCTTTTTTCCTTCATTCTTTTAATACAGTTGACAATGATGCAATATAGCCATTAAACATTTGTCTCTCAATCAACTTTTCTCTTAAAGGTTCCAAAGTTATATGTTGACCTGCAAATAAGTATGTATTTATATTACTGTATACAAATTAAAACTTTTATAGGTAATATAAATAAATTATGATTGAATAAATAGATTTGTCTTTATACTTACTTGTTTCATACATATTATAAATACCACTTCGGATTCCACTTGTATCCAGTGTTATTGTATTAGTAGGTAATCCTTTGTTTATATGAATGCTTTTTAATTAGCGATTTTAATCATTCATTATTCTTGACTGCTTGCCAAATACTACTGACAGTAGAAATATTTTTATTTAGAGATGCTTCAACACACTAAAAAAGACAAGAAAATAATTTCATATTTCTATTAAATTTTATAACTTGTAACTTACCTCTCTTACAGCAGTTAAAGGTAAACGTGGTCCATCATTATCACGCTCTCATTCAAAATAATGGATTAAAGAAGCTATCAACTCCTTACAAGGACTATTTAGTTTTTTAGGCATTTTGTATATAAAAATTAAACAACAAATAATCAGCTTATACACTCTATGGTTGTTTTGAAAAACAGTTTTTTATAATTATAACTGGCAAAGCTTAAAAATACAGGCAAAAGGATTTTAAATTACAGAAAACAAAATGCACAATCAATAATTAACTCAACATAAACATAACCTAACTAAATCAGTGAAATTTTTTAAAAAGGGGTTGCAACACCGCAACAAGGTGTACCAATTGCTGTAATGACATTTCTTCTCTATAAATACGAGCTTCATGGGCGTACAGAATGTCAAAATTATTTAATGTAAAGTATTATTTTTTGAGTACTAAACATTTAATAATGTTTTTATAAATTTTATATTATCAAGAATTAGATATGTATAAACTAAATAATTTAAATAATTCTTAAAATTATCAAAATAATCACCATAACAGTTTTTGACTTTTTAGTAATTTGACTACGTTCATGAATGCTCGTGACTATACGTGACTTTTTCGGATTATTAGCTTAGGGACATTTTAATTAGTTGGTAGTACTATGACGAATGACCGACGTCATTGCTGACGTGCATCGGGATTTGTATTAAAAATACTATAGAATTAATATTAATTAGGATTGGGATTTGTATTTAAAGGGACTAACTTTTTTAATATAAAATATCATTTGTTCCATTTGAAAAGTTATTACTAACGTCACATAGTTTCGTGAAATAGATAACATAGTGTATAAATGGCTTTAAAAGAAGAATTTACTTACGACCTGTCAAACAATATCTGCTAGTGAGCAAGGCTCTTATATCTAATGGCGTTGCGACATAGTCTTCCATCTTGGACTCTATTTTTACTCAAAATAGTAGTCGCAAAGCCTGTTAATTTATGAAAAATGTATAAATATTTTAATTGTGTTTGACATAAAATATTTAATCCCTTATTCATGATTTTACGTATTTATTGTATGTCACAACCTCTAAATATGCCACCGACAAGTTCTTTTTTTTTTTTTTTTTTTTTTTTTTTTTTTTTTTTTTTTTTTTGAATGCCTAAATCAGTATTCAGCTAAGACCGTGTCAGCGAATACTGACGAAAGGGCATAGACGAAGGCATAGGCGAAGGTACGCTGGCGTTTGCCGCGATTCGAGCGAATGAAATGTGGACGGATGTCCATATAAGTATCATACTATACAGTGTTGCCAGAATATATTTTTATAAGGTACCAGATTTATCTAAAAAATGTACCAGATTTCATAAAAATGTACTAGATTCTATAAAATTACCAATTTTTCTAATTATGAAGTTTGGTCATTAAAGAGCAAAAAAAGGTTTATAGAGAACACGAACACAACAATTTTAAACAATATTTTATCTCTCGACAAATTTCTGACACTATTTTATCTCTCCAGCAGTTTTTGAATAAGATTTTAATACCTTTTGATACTCTTTTATCTCTCGAACAGTTTTTAATTTTTTTTTTATCTCTTGAGCTATTTTGAAACAATATCTCTCGATAAATTTCTAATAGTATTCTATCTCTCGAGCAATTTTTAACAACTTTTTTATCCCTCGAGCAATGTTTGTACAAAATTTTTAACACTATTTAATCACTCGAGCAATTTTTAACAGTTTTTTATCTTTCAAGCTATTTTTGAACAATATTTGAATTCTCGTGCAATTTTTGAGCAAAATTTTAACAATTTCTAACACTATTTCATCTCCCGAGCAATTTTTAAAAACGATTTTAATACCTTTTGATATTTTATCTCTCGACCAGTTTTTAAAAAAACCTTTTTTTATCTCTTGAGCTATTTTTAAAAAAAAATTTATCTCTCGATAAATTTCCAACAGTATTCTAGCTCTCGAGCAATTTTTAAGAACTTTTTTTTTATCCCTCGAGCAATGTTTGTA